CGCGATAACCAGTTTCAAGCAAATAATAGTCAAAATGTACGCTGGACCGAATGTGAGGTGAACCCCGAGGAGGGAAGTCAGAGAGAGATAAGAGAGAAGAAACTCGGCCGACGGGCGGCGACCAGTGGCACAGCGCCACGCCAAGCGAAGCAGATAGGCACGTTGCACGTAACGCAGTGGTGGCGATCGACACGCAAAGGCGACGGCTAAGAAACAGGTGACATTCGATCGAAAAGGTATCCGAGATCGAGGAAAAACAAGAGCAATATGAGGGGGAAAAGTGAGTAAAGAGATGCCGGCGAACGTGGATGCGTGGACCGGCAGCAGAGCGGAGGATCAGGTGCGAGGGAACGAGCGAGAACGGAGAATGGGTCACAAAATGCCTTGCCCGAAAGATAAGATGTGAATGAGGCGTTCAGTTGACGCGAGGAGGCTGCTGTTACTCATGGTCATAACACGACCGATTGAAAGCAAACGGTCAAAAAGGTCTAAAATGTGCGCGGGCTGCACGTGAGGCAGCCTCCGGGAAGAGAAGCCAGAGGGAGATAAAAAACGCGGTCGACGGCCGGCGCGAAGCAGCGCAGCGCAGCGATACGCAACGGAGTATGACATTGATATGCAATCAAAAGCATCTTACATCCATCGAAAGTACTTTCAACCGATAAGGGATCAAAGATTCCCGAGAAAGTTACAAAACGGGTAGAAGGGTTCCTGTTTTTTTTCGAGCATTACCCGTTTTGGCTTTTTTAATATACAAGGAGGTAATCACCGCGTAAAAATATGTGGAACCTGGTCTTGTTTCTTCCAAAAAATTTTTACTGGGAAGACTTTAGCCAGGGATCCCTTATCCCGTGAACTTTCTTCGGAAGACGTTTTAGAGCTTTCATCAGCGGTGCATGAAACTCCCACGGGAATCCTAATGAGATTGCTCGAATCGAAAAAATGTAATTGGTTCAAAATAAAAAAAAAAAAAATTAAAAAAAATTTTTTATAACATTAGTTTTTAAGATAAGCTTTATTCGAACATTAACTCCCCGTAATTAATGCCCCGTATGGGCCAGTAGTACATTTTTACTTAATAAAAATAAAAAAATAAAAAAATAAAATAAAAAATAAAAATTCAAAACGGATTTCGATCGAGCAGATTTCGATCGAGCAGGCTCGATCGAAACAGATTCCGATCGAAACAGGCTTTCGAAACGATTTTTTCGAAGTGAACGATTACGAAATGATCGCTCGATCGTTTCGTACGAACCAACGAGCGATTTCATCGGTTCGGGGACAGCCCTAAATGGATGTCCGCTTCGCACCGACTGAAGTGCGAAACCACGTATCTCCATTGCGGTGTTTCAAAATTTCCGTTCTTATTTCATCACTTCCATGAGAAACAATCCAAATTTACGACTTTAAATGTTGAACCAAATCTTCTGCTATCGAAAACGAAGAATCATGGAGAATTCAAGTTTTATGTTGACCAGCTTCTCGAAAGAAGAATAAAATTTCTAAGGAAGTCTGCAACGTCGCAAATGGAGAAACGTCGTCTCTCATTTTGCCCAACAGTATGTATGCATAAAATTGAAGGCATCATGACTTTCCGCTCTCAACTTATATTCGTCTGTATTGATGAACAATGGGACGCGCTTGCTACGGCGCCTTGATACAACTATACAACCTCGACGGATGTCCGTATTGCGTTAAAAATATTGAAGGCGACTCCCTGCTCACACTACCTGTAGTTGATTCGATCGACAGACGCGTTGGTCGGCGGTGGCGGGGACTTGATGCAACTATTTAAACTTGATGGATGTCCGTATCGCACCGACTGAAGTGCGAAACCACGTTTCTCCATTGCGTCGTTTCAAAATTTCCGTTCTTGTTTCATCATGTTAACGGAAATCGAAAACTCCAGCGTGCATGAAGGCTATTTCAATTGTAATCTTCCGTCGCATTTTTAAGGCGCAATGATACAACTATTTGAACTCTCCGGAATGTGTGAGGTATCATGCCGCATTTGAAGGCGTTTTCAAATCAGCCAAGTTCCGATACCCGGATTATCGTTTTGCATAGTTTATATTCTTTTGTTATATTCCGTGCCACTTGTTTATTTATAATTCTCGTAGAAAAACCATCTATTTGTAAATACAATTCTAGCTGTAGCGCACTTCAGCTATGCATTCACCACTGCAAAAATGTCAAAGGAAATCGACAAGCTCAGCTTGCATGAAGGCAGGCCCGCCATAAGGGGGAGGGGGGGGGGATTATGGGCCCTTGGAACCGGGGCCCGTGTTACCCGTGAGAAAGCACTACGAATTCACATGCAACCCTTGTTCCGTAAGAAAAAGTGAAAAATGTACCCTAAAAATTTCGCAAAAGGTGAATAGATTTTCAGAAACACGCTGGGACACTGTAGAATTCTTCTTAAATTTTCCAAGAAGTATACCTTAGGAAATTTTCTATCCATTTTCAAGATTTTCAGTACAGAGGGAGATTTTTAGTAACTGCTTTTCATTTTCTCCGTCGTCAGATGATAAGAGTCTCCAGTCTGGGCATCCTCGACTTCAATGGCTCATCGCTCAACTCCCTTGCCATAGACAAACGAAGGGGGAGTCCAGGGGGGCCTGGCCCTCATAGAACTGAAAATAGTATCATATGCCCCCTGGCTCAACCTCACCAAGCCCTAAATACGCCTACAAGTATGATTTCCCATGTACAAGGGCAAAACCAGCCCTAGAGAAAAATATGGAGATGTTTGTATTTCGGGCATCTTGAATTTTATCGATAATGTAGGTCGGTACGGACGGTTTTTATCATCGATTTTCTGGGAAATGGTATCGTTTATGAAAAAAAATCATTCTATTAAAAGTGTTTAAAATTATATTATAAGTTGATCTAAGTAAAAAAAAAAAACGGACGACATGGTTCGTTTCTTCTACTTCGATTATTGTGGAATATCGGCGCCAAATTGTGCCGACCTACGTCACAGCCCGCCCGGCAAGGGAGCAATGTGTACGTTGCCGCAACGTTGCAAGGCAACATTTTTGATGATATTGCTTTGTAAAGGTAAAGCAGCAACGTTTAAGCAATGTTTCAGCAATGTTGCCTGACATTATATTTTAGATAATATTTTCAAAACGTTTTTAGAAATGTTTCTGGAACATTATTAAAAAACGTTTCAATAAATATTTCTTAGATATATTGTGACAACGTTGTTAAACATTATTAGTCAGGGAGAAACACGATTTGACCCGGAACAAATTGCTGAACAAACTTTTCCTATGTAAACGTCATCAGTAGGTCCTCCTGAACAACATACCAAAAGTTTACCACGGTCCGACCCCGGAACACCCCCCAAAATGCCTAAATTTCAAAATGGCGGCCATAATAAGGCCTCTGGGATTTCGGTTTTTTAAAATGCGCATATAGTGTCATGTGAGGTATCAATCCCTGTGTAATTTTGGTCTTGGAACTCAGATGTGAGGTCAAGCAGATGCTGTGCTGCAAATCGGAGGGGACACTTTTCCACTGTTTCAGGTGTTCTCCTTTCTGTTGTTTCTCAACAGATGATTTTCTCCAATCAATATAAGGGAATGCGCCCTCATACAATGTCGCAAAAATATGTATATGTATATACAAAAATAAACAAAAATTAATTGATAGATAATTCAAAAAATAAAAAAATTAACAATAAAAATATACAAATGAAGATAAAATTAAAAAAAATAAAAAAATATATTAAAAATAAAAAATAAAATAAAAAAAATAAATATAAATAATTAGAAAATAATTTAATACAAAATAAAAATACCAAATAATTATAATAATAAAAAATAATTGTAATATAATTAAATAAATAATTAAAATAATAATAATTTTATTTAAATAAAATGAATATATTTATTCAATTCTTTTTTAATTTTTTTTTCATACTCCTTTTTTTTAAAAACTTGATCTTCCTAATATTATGTTCAGTATCCTTCGTTGTAGAATTATGCACAGAAATGCAAGAATATCATTGCTTTCTATCATTGAACCAGATCTAGGGATGTTTATTAATGCTAAATAACCATACTCTATCACGCAAGCGTCCGTAGCTGAGTGGCAGCGACACACGGGCGATCACTGAAGTTCAGCAACGTCGAGCGTAGTTAGTACTTCGATGGGAGCCCGCTTGGGAACCCGGGCGGAGCGCGGCTACTATCGGACTTAGAGTGAATTTCGGGTGCCTAAGAAACGCTTCTCTGCGGTCCACCTTGAATTCTAGGAGGAAAAATGCTGAGTACTCCTAAAATAAATCACCGAAATTTTTTCACCGTATTTTTGCAACATTCCCATTATGTTGCTAAAACGTATTTTTGCAACATTCCCATTATGTTGCTAAAACACATTGCAGACACATTGCCAATTACGTTCATGCAAGCTGACAAAATTACACGTTGTGGCAACGTTACCACAACGTTGCCCGAATACGTAAATGGCGAAATTGCAACGTTTTGGCAACGTTGCCACAACGTAATTTTGCCGGGCGGGAGGGTAAACAATCCTCAAGATGTAAATACCTCCTTTTTTTCTCTATGGAAACTAGCACAAGCACAAAAAATCCGTCAAACATATTCGTGAAAATTATTTTACGCTCTGGAATTTTCCTGCTAGGATGTGAAAGTGGGGCTGTGGGCTGCATCTAGCTAGCGCTAAAAAACATCATGCCACATTGAAGGCGAATTAATTTCAACTGTAGATCAACCTCAGTTCACGGTAGAAAGATATAAACCGTCAGCTCTGAATATAAATCCTCTTCGGGAGGTTACTTAAACAGACTCATCTGTAATACATAAAACAAAAAATTGAATTAAATATTATTTTGAATTCAAAAGGCGTTGATGATGCTGCTTCCGGGTTTCTCCTCTAATCCAAATTCAAAACTCGCGCCCTTCGACCTCCCATTGCTACGTAAGAGAGGAACATGATTGGTCAGGCGATATTCACGTGACCCAAGTGATCATATGATCAACATTCGCTGACATTTTGCGTGAAGCACGGAGTACGCCTGCTGAAATTTCATAGTTTTCTCCCAAATTTGCTTTCTTTCATAGTGTGAATATGGCGAGTCAAACTCAAGGAATCCAACAGCTTCTAGCCGCTGAGAAACGCGCCGCAGAAAAAGTTGCCGAAGCCAAGAAACGTGAGTATTATAACTTTGCAATCTAACCTGTACTCCCTTGAAGGCCGAGTTTACTCCCCTAGTTTAATCGATTTTTTCTAAGATTTCTTCGTACTCTGCAGATTTCTATATTTCAAAGAATTTCTCTCACTGCACAGAATCATCATGAACTATTTATGAAGTTGAAACCCCTGTCCACTTTGCAACATGATTCCGGGACTCTCTTCAATTGTTATCACGACAGCTTATCACAAGCTGAACCTCCCTCTGCCCTATTTTCACAGATTTTACCCCTAAAATTCAAAATTGTTTGGATAAGCTACTTTCAGTTAGCCATTTTAGATTGAAAGTGCCTCTAACTTACAATATGAACATCCATCCTATGTCCACGCGAAAAATTATTTTTTTGGGCGGAGTCCTGCTTCGGTGAAACTGCTCCATTTGATGAAGCGAGCATAATACAAACTCTTTGCTCCTCTACAATAAGGTTTCTTCATTCTTTAGTCATCTGCAGTCATGAAGTTTAATTCCTTCTTCTCAGGTTTGGATATATTAATTATGGTGAGTCTAGGATGTACAGTTTTGCGTACGTTATTATGTTGATGTGTGAATAATTATAGAGCTCGCGCATCGTATGTTGAGACAAACGTCTATCTCTGATTAACTCTGAATTAGCACGTTTTAACAGGTTAATACATGCAATCAGATGGCGCCACTGATAAGTGATGACCTAAACAATACTATAATGATTGTCTCAACACAAAATGCGCAAGCTCCAGAGAGCGCGCATCGTCTGTTGAGACAGACATCAATCTCCAATTCGCTCTGAATTCGCACCAATTAACAGGTTAATACATGTAGTCAGGTGGCAACACTAATGAATGGTGACATAAACAATACTTTGACGTTCGTCTCAACATACAATGACTTGTATCTTGCATTGCAATCATACAGATATCCTAGTTTTATTTGTATTGAGGAGAGCTGTACGGTGATCATTCCTATCAAAGGAAATTGTTTGTCATTCTTATTGACCTTACGAGAATATCCTCCCAAAAATTCAAGTAGAAATTATTTTTTAGATATTGTATCTTCTAGACATTTTTTTACGATCTTTGATAATTTTTCTATACAGATTGAATGGTTAATTTTTTATCCTAGATCACTGAGAAAGCGACCAAGTGGACAGTATTTACTCAGCACTTTTTTTCACATCGCACCAATCATCAGTTTTGTTCCCATTTAAGCCTCCAATGCTTTTGTTTCAGGGAAAGCCCGCAGGTTGAAGCAAGCCAAAGAAGAGGCTCAAGATGAAATCGAAAAGTACAGGCAAGAACGCGAAAAACAATTCCGTGAATTTGAAGCACAGGTAGAAAATTTTCTTTGCTGGTTTTAGAGTGTCAAAATTTGTTTTGAGACACTTCTAATTCACACTTATGTATGATTTAAACTTCTCGATCTCAGATTTCATTAACTACTTGAAATTCATCTTTTCATGAGGAAAATTTTAAAGCATCGAATTTGTTGCAAAATTTTGAAGTAAGTTTGTTTCTGGTCGTTGGAAATGAATTTAGAGTTGAAAGGTGAAAGATGGAAAGCGAGATAATAGGCTGCAAGTCTCATCTGTAAATATAGGGAAGAAACAAAAATTCATAGTTATTTACTTAGGAGCAATTCTATCACCGCATGGTCAAACTGCTGGTTAAGTTTGACAAGAGACTATACATGGAAATAGCATGGATTTTATCTTTCCCCGAAGCTCCTGGTCAAATTTAGCCTGACAGAAGGATTAATCGGAAAATATCTGACAAGTACTTAGAGTGCCTAAGAACAAAATTCTCAAGAGCTCTAAAAATTTCCTGTATCCATCAGTATTCAAGTATTTTTTCTGTATTGGTTCTTAAGATCAAGCTAATTAAAAACTAAAATTAAGTTTGAAGTCAATCATAAAGCAAGTAATAATCAATATTTCTTTCTCCTTAGCACATGGGCTCGCGAGAGGATGTTGCTGCACGGATAGAGGCGGACACAAAAATCAAAATTGAGGAAATGAACAAGGCTATAGCTCTAAACAAGGATGCTGTAAGTCTCATTTTTCAATTATCAAAATTAGGTATTGAAATGGAATTTTTTAGGAAAGCCAAAAAATGGGTCATTGAATTAGAATGTTAGTACAATTGATGGGACAAGCTGTTGGTCAAGTATCTATGCACTTTTGATCTACTATTGCATGGATCTGGACAAGATAACTGCAATTACACGAATCTCTTTTGCAATGTTTGAAAAGCTCCCGTTTAATTTTATTGAAAAAGAACAAACCAGCACTAATGCTTGAAATTTTCACTGAATATTCTTCACAAAGAAAAGGATTATGAAGGAGGAAAGAGAAGTGTTTCAAGAAATGATGTTGAGTGTTGACCTTGTGTGAATTGTCTTGAAAAATTGATGAGAAAACACACACTTTCAAGCTTGTACGCTTGTCAAGCGTTTACTTGTGCAATGGAAATCCTCTTGAAACTTATGCAAAAATTCCTGTTTCCATTCTTTACGCTCAATTTCCTCAGGAAACTTTAATTTCTAGTTGATCCAAGTCTATTATCAATAAAAGGAAGATCAATATTATCAATAAAGAAACCATGACCTGCACTAATATTGTTGGTAATGTCAAGTCAGTGTTCTTCAAAAGACAATGGTTTTGTTATTAATGGTGTAGAAACTTGGTTTTCAAACGGAGTTCATCAGTTTATGTTACCTTTTCTAAGAGTATCAACCATCAAAATGTCATTTTGTGACCCATGCATCTGACTAATCACACACCAGTCGTTTTGGGCATGGCTGTAAAAAATATGAAGAAACTTTTACTTGTCAAATTGTCAGTTGGACAGCTTTATGCAATAAGGAACTAGGGTCAAATTTTCGATTTTTTTTTTATGATGAATTCCGTATCAGGAGGGTATTTACTTACTATTGAGAAAAAGAAAATCCTCAAAAACAATTTTTATCCCGCTTCAGCGACCCCGCAAAAATTTGCCGTCGCAGGATCACGCGAAGTTCATTTTGCAATTGGGACCTATACTATGGTTCCCTATTGCGTAATGCGAAACTCGGATTTCCCATTTTGCAATTCGGAACTATAGACAGGGCGGCATAATGCTTTCTGGGCATTCTCGGCTCCTGTTCGACCGATCTTGCTGATTTTTGGTATCCGGGGGTATTTTTCGACGGGAAACTCGAATTTCAGGTCAAATTTTGAAAATTCAAAAATCCAAGATGGCGGATATGGCCTAAAATGCTATCTCGGCTCCTGTTCGATGGATCTTGCTGATTTTTAGTATCCAGGGGTATTTTTAGACGGGAAACTCGAATTTCTGGTCATATTTTGAAAATTCAAAAATCCAAGATGGCGGATGTGGCCTAAAATGCTATCTCGGCTCTTGTTCGATCGATCTTGCTGATTTTTGGTATCCGGGGGTATTTTTCGACGGGAAACTCGAATTTCTGGTCATATTTTGAAAATTCAAAAATCCAAGATGGCGGATGTGGCCTAAAATGCTATCTCGGCTCTTGTTCGATCGATCTTGCTGATTTTTGGTACCAGGAGGTACCGTAATAGCACACCTAGTCTTAGAGATGTTTTTAAAACGTGTCGATGACACCAAGCCTCATTTCTGAAATGTTTCACGTGATACTTTAAAAACCCGAATGAAGTGTCAAACACGAAGCCACTCTGTAGGTTCAACACATTCCCATGTCACCACATTTTATGTGTCTGTGAAACATTTGCAGATTGTGTCACCGAAATGTTTCGAATTCATTTTTTACATATTTCAATGACACAATGGGCAAAGGTCTCCGTTGGCAGTGCATTTTTGACACATTTCTGACACATTTGTAAAACAATGAGCCTTTAACTCAGATTTTCCTCTGATTTTCTAAATGTTTATGACACATTTTCGGTATAATCACTACAGTCCATGTAGTGTTAAACACGAGCCCACTCTGTGTTGAATACATCCGCATGTCACTACTTCTTAACCGTAAAAAAATTTTCAGACATCTGTTTTAGCAAACGTCGTGGAGGCATTATAGCTATCAAATCAAGTGCCTGGGCGGCCTGATTACAGACTATGCCTAAGGAGAGTATGGAACTATGGGTTCACTCCATCAGTATTAAACTATCAGAGGGATTAGGACGTCCTCACTTTAGAAAAGTATACGCAAAGCATGATGTACGGTTTCAATATTTTAGATAATCCATAACTTATAAGCTCTTATGGAGATAAATGCGATGCATACCAAGAATTTAAAACTATTTTTAACTCTGCATAATTAAATAGCCAAAAAGTAAACCTTGAGACAAAAAAATAAACCAAAATTTGGTAAAATTGGAAAATGAAACGTCAACGCTCTCTGGTGGGTTCAGTTTGATCTAGGAAAATTTTTAGAAAGGTCTGAGAAATGTTTTCAACTTGTGTTCACCAGGTTTTAATGACAATCAAGGCACTGTTTTGTTTAACTGATATATTCCTGACACATTTCTGAAATAAATTTCCTTACCCTTATGCGTTTAAATTAATTTTATAAATGGTTATGACGTACGATCGCCGCGGATCAATTAAATGAGAGTGATACGAGTATTTCAACTGGAGAGCAATGAGGGAAATTCGTACACGAAAATCTGAAGGCGTTTCAAATACCATTCCGTCACGTTTCATACATAGATTCAACATATAGCTGTACCTTATCAGATTAAAAATACGAAATATCTGCCAGTTGTTTCTGAAACATGTTTTTGAAGGATCTTGGAAACGTTGCTAAATTGTGTCAGAAATATGTCAGGTTTATTTCTCAGAAACTTCGAACTTCCAAGAATTTCTGCAGCAACGTTTTAAATATGTTTTAGAAATGTTTCCAAAATATTTAGTTGATCTCCTTTCCCAACATATCGTACACAAATCTAATATGAATCTGTGCCTGGGTCGTTAAAAAAAAAATTGACACAATTACAAATTTTTTCCGATAGATGTCAATAAAGGTTCATTGATTTTCATATAAATTGTGGCAGAAATGTTCCGTAAATATGTTTCAATCATAGGCTTAGCTGTGGCAATGGTTTTGAAATGTTTTTGAAACCTTTCTGATATAGTTTATTGAACGGACTGCAATATATTGACAACACATAGCTGACACAATTCTTACACATTTTTCGGGTGGGTTATTTATGCCTTTTTGAAATAAGTTTGAAACGTTTCCAACTTATTTTTAAAAAAGTTTGAATGACCGCAATTAGAAACATTTTCGATTTGTTTTCAATACGTTTCAAAGACACGGCCAACTTGCCCATTTCATGTATTCGTTTTGAAAATTTGTTGGAAACATATGTCAATGACTGATCCGAGATTGACATAATTTGAAACATTTTAAAAACATTCCATTGTGTAACTGTGCTATTAGGGATTTTGGACGGGAAACTTGAATTTCTGGTCAAATTTTGAAAATTTGAAAATCCGAGATGGCGGATGTGGCCTAAAATGCTATCTCGGGCTGCTCGACCTATCGTGGTGAATCTTGGTTGTATAGGGGGTATTTTTGGCCGGGAAACTCAAATTCCTAGCCGAGTTTCGAAAAATTGAAATTTTTCAAATTTTGACATTGAGCTTGTTCAGTGATTTTTGATTTTTGCGTTTTTTGAAGTATTTACTACGCATAAGCCACAAATAATTTCTCCGATATTTTTCGCATTTCAATCCACGAAAAACAAGTTTGAGGTTGCGTCTTCTGAGCTCCCCTTTAAACGTGTGTCCGAGGAATGAAAGATCCCCCAGGGGATACTTACTCAAGTAAGGTCATTTTCGGCCACATCCACCATCTTGGATTTTCGAATTTTCAAAATTCGATCAGAAATTCGAGTTTCCCATCTAAAAATACTACCTGGTACCAAGATTCACCGCGATAGATGGAGCACGAGCCGGGATAGCATTTTAGGCCACATCCGCCATCTTGGATTTTTAAATTTTCAAAATTTGACCAGAAATTCGAGTTTCCCGTCCAAAAATACCCCCACGTAACAAAAATCAGCAAGATCAATCAAACAGGAGCCGAGATAGCATTTAAGCCACATCCGCCATCTTGGATTTTTGAATTTTCAAAATTTGACCAGAAATTCGAGTTTCCCGTCGAAAAATACCCCCTAACCCCGAAAATCAGCATGATCGATCGAACAGGAGCCGAGATAGCATTATAGGCCACATCCTTAATCTTGGATTTTCGAATTTTCAAAATTTCACGATTCACGGGTTTGTTGACCTATTCAAGGGTTTATCGATCAATTCACGGATTTTTCGCACGAATCACGGGGTTGTCAATCGATTCACGGGATTGCGGATCGATTCGCTGGTTTTTGATCGATTCACGGTCGTCAATCGAATCAGTGCCGATCAAATCACGTCAATCGGTTCATGTTCTAACTTTTCGATCGATTCATGTCGGTCATGTCGGAATCATGACACCGGTTTTTCAATAATTTGTCGATCGAGTCGGTGTTGATCGATTCATGCTTTCATTTTTTGATCGATTCATGTCGATCAAATCTATAAACCCTCCCGTCCAAATTGCATGTGCCACCATTCTCGAAATATTAGCAAGTCGGTAGGTATCCATATTTTTGGCACACCCTGTTTTTTGTAGAATATCTTTCCGCAGGGACAATGCACCTCCCCCCTTCCTCGTATGATGGAAGGAAGGGGTGTTTTCTCTGTTGGGGTTAACCCTCCAGTTTGTAATAGTGGCACCAGGTCGTCTCCCCTATGCAGTCAGTGCTAAAACAATCTATAGTTCCTAATTGCAAAATGAGCTTCCCCGGATTCTTCATTTTGCAATAAGGAACTATAGCCTTTTTTTGTAATTATTGGCAACAGTGTGATGTTTTTGACGAATCTGTCAACACAGGGTGTTAAAGGAACTCCATAGCTATAAAATGAACCATCAAACCGCAACATTGATCGTTTTGATGAAAAACGCCAATGGTTTTTGCAAAAGTTGCTCTCCTGAAAACCTACCGTTCTGCCTATAGTTCCGAATTGCAAAATGCTATCCACTTACCCTTTTATGTAGCATGTTTTCCTTGGTCAGGGTAAGTATTCCCAGGTCTGGAAAAGTTAGAGAATTTTTCAAAAAATACTGGAAATTTGAAAAATATTACAATTGGAAATCACATTAGTGCTGTCGACACAATACAAGTTAATCTCAGTATGTTCTGGGGTCTAATGTTCTTAGTTTCACTCTGAACCCCTACAGGGGATTACGAATTGCATTTTTAGTTAATATTGAATGAATAATACTTTAAGAGGAAAAACTGACATGTTTTGCTTTGAAAAGAATGCCAAAAATAATCTCTCATTTTCATTAATATTCATGCAGATATGTCAATGTGAAAAGTCAGGAAATTTTGATAATTCTGGTCAAGGAAAACCTGGAAAGTCCGTAATTTTTCCTGGTGGGTCTGTATACACATTGTTAGTGCTCATAAGGAAATGCCCCAACTAACTTAATTCATGATTTTCCGGCACTTAGCACGATATTGTTGATGAGTCTTCAGTGGATCACTATACAAGGTGCAAATTTAAGCATTCTGGTAATTGTTTTTTCATTGAAATGTGACGTAGAACATGTGATTTGCACAACAGAAATTACTGGAACTAACTAAATAAGATATTTAACGCTTTTTATGGGTTATAATTTATTCACCTCGCTCATAAAAGAATCAATAGTCTAAGTGAGTCAAATTGCGCTCTAAATGCTACTGTCTCTGCAGTACGAAAACATGACAACCTTAATCTCAGCGCTTTGGCTCAGCTATTGCATGTTGGTAACACTCAGAACAGCACAGGGTGCGGAAAGAATCCTGCTTATGGAAAAGTCTGCCGAAGACGTGGTGTGCAATTTGATTCAATTAGACTATTGTTTTTCATGTAAGCAAGGAAATTCCAAATTCGTATAACAATGTAAACTGAAAACGTAAATATCTCAGGTAGGAATTGATCTGAGTAATTTTCATTGCCCAAATCTTATTCTACGTGAAATTTTGGTCAGGAAACTTGAATCAGAGTGCTTAGATATGCACATTAACCAGTGGTCCATTAAACTCCAGTCATCTCTAATGAGAGTGAAGTGAGAAGAAATATTTGAATCAAGTTTTTATTCTGTGTGTTTTCTTTGCTGCAGGTCATTAAAAAGATTCTCGAACTTGTATGTGACATCAAGCCGCAATTGCACCCCAACTTCCGTGCCACCAAGTAAGGCGTCTGTCATGTTTCATCTGTTGTTGATCATGGAATAAGCACAACAATAATTTTTTAATGGTGTTTATTCAAAGTTGTTCAGTATTGAATTATATTCCCAATTATCGAATCGTAAGATCCTACTGAATACTCCGTCGAACTTTTAAAAAGCATTATCATTGTTATTCATTGTTCCCTCTCCAACTTTTTGTTAAAATTTTATGTTAATAACTTGCGTTTAATTTAGTATTTGTTATCTGTGAAGGAAATGAGTGAAATGTATACTTACGTAATCGTTAAACCTTGATGCATTTAATTTCAATCTTCATTACTTCTTCCTCTATTCAAAAGGGACAACAATCCGAATTTTTAAGTCCCTCTGAATGAAATCTCGAGTATTTTAAATCCTCAAACTATCCATTTTTCAAACATTTTATGCTGCAAATTTAAAAAAAAATGTGATGAAAAATAGTGAACATTTTTGCTTATCTGACAGTCTTGCATCAAAGAACTGTTTTTAGGCATGTATGTTTCAGCCGCCAACTGCAAGAATGCCCTTACAAAACCTTTGTTGAGTGACCTGTCACTAATTTTCACACTGTCAAAATTATTTATTTTCATGTTGTTGCTACCAAGAATTTCTAGAAAATTCATCGCAGAGACAAAACCTCTTTCCTTAGTTTTGTTCTAGCGTTTTGACTGTCTTTAAAAAATAATCAGTACACTTAGTTCAAACGTTACAGCCAAAGCTTGAGTGTGATCAATGATGGATATCCTCTCAAAGGTCTGAAGTAGCGCTGACTTGAATTTGGATTGACCACCCCTCAGATGCTTTGAAATTCTAAAAAATCACCACCAGACCCTCTCAGTATGCAGTGCAGCGGTCAATATATAAAAAATGAGTTTCCTTGTACTTTTGGATTGTTGTTCTTTTCTTCTTTTTAATTTTTAATCAAGGGATAATCAGTCATAATCGCGTTTTTGTCTACTGGTAGAAGGTCAAGGGTCAAACTTTCCATCATCCAACCGTACGAAGTGCTCCTTCAATGCTTATTCACTGCCGATTTATCCACACAGTTGTTAAGGAAAATTACAATTTGTTGAGTGCTCTACCAAACTTGGAACGTAATTACTGTAATGTATCTTGCATGATTAATCCCGCCGACTTTTCGTCATCATTTCAATTTCTAGACTTTTTTTTACAAATCATAGCTACTGGGCAACAAATGTAATTCTATTCATTTCGCTTGAATCATAGGGAAGCAACTGCATAGCATATTTGCCAAGATAATTTTTGTTTTCCACTTCAACAGGGCTAAGACAAGCATCACCTCCAGTGATTTAAGTCAGCGGTTTCATGGAAAGCTTTATACCCTACAAATAAAACTGTACATACTGCTCATATTTTTCACAGAAACACATTCAGCTCCGAATTAAGTTGACCCTTGCGTTAAGTTTATCTTTAGGTGACTTTCTATCGAACTTGGGTTAAAATAATTTAGCGAACTCAGAGCAGTCATTTTAATGAACTGGTCTAGCTCTGCTGAAAGTGTACCCTCGACCGTACTCCAGTTTGCTTTAAGTTTGTGAAACTGTTCTAATGGAAGTTTGCCCACATAGACAAAACGCTTTGTTACCATTCTCCTTGGCTCAAAAAAATATAAAACGTGTGAAAGAGCAATACAAAGTGAGTTCAATTCTAGCACCTGTACATTTTGCAGGGAGTTTGCTATTCAATTGAAATAGTTACAGATTAACGGAGTCCTGATCTTAGAACAACCTTCCTCTGTTAATTGAGGGCTTGTGACATTCCAGTTATTTTTATTTTCCCTATTAGTTAGTTCCTTCTTTAAATTGCGGAATTTTATTCAAGCCATTCAGACAAAAAAAAAAACCAACGAACCATGAACAAGAGAGTCTCGTCTCAGAAAGTAATAAGTTTCATAACAATGTTGCTTATGAAAACTGTGTTTCACAGAAGTAGAATTCCTTGAGTTATGTCAAGAATCCCATCATCCCAGGTAGTATTCTTCCATTCACCTTCATCAAAATATTACGAAAAGAAAGATATGTCACCTTCATTTACGGTGGTCTGTATTTCACCAAACGCTGAATAAATTAGGAAAGTTAAAAGAGACAACTCTGTTGAATAAGGTCCAATCGACAGATTTTAAGTTGAAAGTGCATCAAAGCTGATAAATCTTTCTCTCTCACTTGCTTTGGTTGAAATATAGCCACTACCATGGAATTCTTGTTTAACTATGTTTTTATTTTACGTATGCAATAAAATTTTAGTGTTAGATCACTCAAAGTTATTTTGAAGAAGGTAATCGAAACTCTCAAAGTGTTAAAGTGTTAAATTCATTCATTTTGTGAAGTGTGTAAATAAAAAATTTTATTGTAATTGCAGTTGATTTAATTCTTAACTCCCAAGTATCGCAATGGAATGGAATCAATATTGAAACCATTTGGAAATCCTCCTTCCATTCTCAATTCTCCATATTGCATCCATATGGAAACCCTTCCTCAACGGTGCCATGCCATGGACTTCATGCGTATGTACCTATGGATTCCAAATGTATGCATCCTGTATTTTTTCCTACCTAATGTACCTATCCATGCGTGGATTCCACATGGATACATCTCTTTGGAATTTGTACGTATAAATTCTATATGGATACAGCAAGCGTCTCCAATATAGAATATCTAAGTGTTACACCCAAATTTTTGAAATTTTTTGCTTCCATTAAGTTAGGAATCTAAATTTTTGTATTTGTGCTCACCCTTCATACTTTCTATAAAGACATGAATAGTCTAAGTTGCTGAATGTCTCTAATAAAAATTAACTAGATAATTATCTTTATGGGCTCCATACACAAGACTCTTCTATATGGAATCTATGTTTTGATAGGTAAAGTGCAAGACCACGTAACTCCATTTGCGACGGTGTAGACTTCCAGTCATACTTACTACTGAAGCACTTATTTAGAAAAATTTGTGATCTACAAGGAAAGTTGTATACTTACCTATGATAATACAAAAGCTTAGATGAGCAATGGAAAAAATCTGCCTCATCGATGTAGATGAGTTCCCACTTTTCAATGATGATGTCTACACTTCAAATTTTTTTTAAAAGAAAAAAAAAAATTATCCCAAGATAGTATTTAAGTACATAGTGGCTGTAACATTATCGCTCACAGTCATGTGAAGTCATCATTTGCAAAGCAGATGGCAATTTTGCAGTTTTATGATTGATTTTTTTACCCGGGATGGAACTTTCTCTTTTATTTTTAAGTAAGAAAATGTTTAAAATATTTTGAGGTAGGCACCTATAAGGTACCAGATGTAAAATATCATTATGCGAAAGGAGAAAAAATTTGATAACGAAAGCACGCAACAAGAAGCTATGATAACACAAAGAAAGTGATGAAATGTTGTTTAAAGTTAGGTAACACTCGCCATCCCTTTTGGAAAGAATTTGAACATATTTGAATGGATGTCAATAATTAATTACAGCTGAAACCTCTTTCACTTTAAAAAATTGCAGGCAGGGCCATACACACACAGGAGGGCTTGCATAGTATACTAGGATAAAGGACCTAATTTCTCTCTCATTTCTTAAATTTTCTGCTCATGGTCCTCAGCTTTTCCTCTAGCAATATTTACAAATCTGAGTGTGCAGAAAGGTTTTTTATGAGGAAAGTAAGCAAGAAGTCAGACTATTCTTAATCTGTCTAGTAGTATTGCTTTTACAATGAAATCGATTCTGGCTATCCCTGATTTTTTTAGCAGTTAGATTTGTAACTGAATTAATATTGATCAGTAATTTTAACCGTTTTGCGAGGATTGAGGATTGCGAAATCGCACCAAAATCGCACGTTGCGCAAATTTGAACGTAGCGCCGAAAACGCTGGAACGTTCCGAAATAAAACCAGACCGAAATTGCCGTTCCGAAAATTACGAAGGAAGGAAAAATGGAAAGAAAAATGAACCCGACCGAATTGTTCATTGTGTTTCTTGCGATTTAGTGAATTTATTTAATTTCCCTGTGCAAAAACATTTTCTCTATTCTGTCCTCGAATTGTGATGATGTTAATTTGAAAGTGTTTCATCAAATATTCATCCCGATGTTGAGCATAAACAAGTTCCGATGTAGGGTAGTCGCGTCTCACACAAGGATCATCAAGGCTCGGATTCCTAAGAAAGCTTCAAACTATTTTGAAGCTTTCGAGGCCGTATTCATGGAACTATGAACCTGGACTCATTATATTTCTCTTTGTCACAGATAAAATATCTTATCGCCAACTTGAACAAGAAAAACTATAAGCTTAGCGTCCAAGAAATCAACCATGTAAGTACCCTCCTGCCTGCCTCTTGGTTTAGGCACCTCATTCATCATTGTTATTATTGTCCTTTTGTCGGACCAAAATCACTTCACAGAAGCCTAGAAATCTTAGCTCCAATCTCCAAGAGCTTGATTCTGGACATTAGCATCTTTCATTCCCATTAGAATGAGGGAAATGCCCTTTATGGTAAAGCATCGTCTGATCTGTGGACGTTGATCCAGGAAGTAAACCACTGGGATCGAATATGAAGCTGTGCGGAAAGTATATTATCCCTCTAAAGATGCTGTTGTATTCATCTGATACATGACCTTGTACCATCGCAAGACAAGAAGCATCTATGCCAAGACCTGTATTTTCAACTTTTCAGTTCTAAGTTGAAGGAACTGATCGGACGATTTCAAGGGAACCGAAACAATGCCTCCTTAATTGGTAAAGTTTACGCTCTGTAGGCTGTCTCATTAGTGCTTTTTTCAGCGAAAAGTTACGTATGACCAATTTTTTGGTCCATTGATTCAGAGCAGATTCATTGATGGGTCATGCTAGGGTTGTGGGAAAGACAGATATTTGTAAGTATAATATAATCTAAACCGCTCACTAGGATATTTCGGTGGAACGTTAGGCAACCCAGATTGCATGTAGTACTGTCCAGTCATGCTGCCTTGAGTGCCATTGAACTTCTACAAACGCAAACTTCCCTTGGGCAAAACAGATGAGCGGCCACACTCCTTCAGTGAGCGTCACGCAGTTCTTACCATATGTTTATCAGGCTGTATCAATTCAGGTGAAGGTGCGTCTTTACATCCCTAGCTGTCTTGCCTCTCCTGCCTAAAGTCAGGCCTAGTGCGCCATCTAGATTGTGTTATAAGACTATGGAACAAAATCCTTCATCACTCCAAGGCCATTTAGTAACTTAACATATCAACAGTTACTCATCATCCATCGTGTCCAATATGAGTGACCGATACCAGGCCATCGGTCCTTGGGTTTGTCGTAGGTGCTTGAGATTGCATGGGATCCCAAGAGGATAACATCAAATAATGTAACATGACCCTCTGTAACATTTGATTATGATTTTATGTATGATTTCAGTTGGTTGCGAGCCACGGACTAGAAGCCGACAGACATTTATTTCGGAGTTTGTTCTCCTTTGTCGATCTAAGCTCGGACCCAAATAAAAGTGTCCCCACTTACAAGGACTCTCTGCAGCTCCAATTACTATCGCAAGAGTGCTCTGCGTTACTGTCAAAACCAGCTCTTGTCTCAGTGCTCTGTTTCGCGTTTGACCAGCCTCTCAATCGCAACAAGGTATCATTCCTTCTAAATATTGTAAACCCTCTTTCATGTAAATCATTTATCTGTTACTTATGGGACCAAATTCTATATGAGCTATTCGTCCAACTGACCGGAGAGTCACTGAAACACACGAACTACAAAACAAACATTCTTTCAAAAATTGGTCTCATATCTAACGTAAAAGAGGTCTTGCCTATCTAAAAGTCAGACTATCAACTGGGGTGATTAGCTAAGTAGACTATCTACTCAATTGTCATATTTAATCAACTGTTTATGATTATCAACAGAAAGATGAAATAAGAAGTTTCAAGATGGAAAACCGGTTGTTTTCCAATGAACGTAATGAACATTCTTACCAACTACCAACATGCAATTAAAAAAGATTTGACTGGGGTTGGAAAATGTATATCACTGACAGCAATAGATCAATCTACTTTCATGCTTTGCAGAGAAAACTAATCAACATTTGTTTTCTTTTTTCTTCAATTCTCTGTTAATTTTCCTTAGTCACTCAAAAAGTGAAGAATTCTCGTAAAGAATATCAAAGTGACATCTTGGTTGATTTTCTTTCAAAAACATCAAATTTAATTGGAGATTTGAAAATGGCAACGTACTTAGAAGGTTGCATTTTTGACCTTAGCCATTGAAGAGAATAATTTGATTATTTGTTAACCTTCACCGCCCCCTTATATCAAAGACAATTCACTTAACCGCTAAATGAGCCCTTGCAATGTATACCTGAAAGTCAGGATTGTCTGCAGATCAAGGAAATAATATTAATTTTAACATTTATCTAATTTTTTAAGTGGAGTTTAATTTCATTAAAAAGCAACTGGTTCCTATTCTAAGGAATATTTTTTGTGAAACTGGTATTCTGCGTACTCTTGAAAGTTTCATCCAGTTCCTATCTCAGTCAGGGAGGGGAGGAGAGAGAGAGGAACAAGCCTTGCCTTGGCATGCTCAATAATTTATTTTGGATGGAGTTCTACTGAAAAAATACATATTGATAAAACATCTGCTAATTTGCAATCAGATACAGGTAGCTCTAGGTTCTAGTTATTGAAGCATGGCACAAATTAAATCGACTACTTCATACTAGATGATGGATCTTTAACTTATTTCCTCTCTTCAAAGCCTCTTTAGTGCATAATTTTACCATTTTTGTTTTCAGGCCTTGAAACCATCCGGCCAGCTTTTTCCTCAGCTGAGTAAGGTACTGAAACTCACACCTGTTGAAGAAGTGGTTTTTGCGTTAACGCTTTTGAACTCTTCCAATCAAGAGACTGTGTTTCATGCTACTCAGTTTGTCAAATTGAAGTTACCGAACTTGTTGCGATCTTACATCAACTCAGGTTTGTACTTCCTTCATCTTCTTTTCTTTTTATTTAATTTTCCCAAGGCTGCAGAAGAGAATGTTTCCTCCAATTTTCTTGAAATCCTAAAAAATTGTCCCCTGAGTTTTCTTTTTTTTACAGGAGTCTTCCAAAAAGATAAATAGTACGCGTCGACAAAAATAAAATATATGTTTTTTCAGAGGATTGTAAACTTCACAAAGAAGTAGTAAATAGCTGTTTCCTTTAAATTAATATGAATATTTAGAAACAAGTTCAAAAATTTTAAAAATCCCAAACCTTTTGTAATGTTTTTTAACTTTTGAAAGGGCTGTTTTAAACGCTGTAACTAAGTAGTGATACAAATTTGTGTCACTATTTGTGTGTGTGTATGTTTTTTTCCACTTGTGAACTTTTAGCAAGATGAAGGATAAGTTTTAAATGTTATCTTTGTACTCCTTGCCTCTCTTAACATAAATCAATTTTATTTTTCAGCCGATTCAAACCGAAGCTCGGGGGACGGTGGATTGAGTGACGCAACTCCGGAAGTCCTTCATCTTATACTGAGCAACCTTTTCTCCACTCCTGACGATTATTTTGGTAAGATCCTTTTCTTTTCTCTCTCTTTTTTCATTTTTACAAAATTTCCGGTGATGTTATTAAATTTCAACTTTATTGTCGTTTAGTTTTGTGCGTTTAGTTTGCTGCAGTACCTAGGCATAGTTCTGAAACCTCTTTACTGAGCAACAATTTTTTCAAGCTATCTAGTTAGAAACCTCTTTTCTTTGACTATTGGGTTTGAACACTTCTTTTCAAAGTCCGAAGGACATTCTTGCATTCGACTGGATTCACAGAAGTCATGAAACTCAACCCTTGAGAGGTGGAACTTGAAGAAGCATTCAGAGTGCCTTTACTGTCTGACAGTATCTTCAAGTATACAAACAGATGATGGGTCTAGCAGTCTGACCTTTTACTTTAATACTCTGGTTGAAACAAAAGGGTTCGTAGTCGTAAAAGACAGCTATGTGAACCATTTATATTAGCCGTTTCGGCCAGCTAAGTGTCACAGGTATTGAAATACCAGCAACTTGTTCATTTCTGAAACTTATAAATTTCTTATGCATATTCAGTTTACGCATTAGGGATGGCTGGATTTCGTACACTTTCCTCTTTTTCAGTCCTATCTCCCAGCCATCACCTTAAATTACCCATTACTTTTATTACTGAACTTGGAGCTGATAGCTCCACTGATTATAGCCAGCCAATAGCGTGTAGGCTTGTTGTCTCACCACCTGTGACGTCAGCAAGTCTATAAAAGCTTGCGCTGCCCATTTCTCGAGGTCCTTTTACCATCTTGACCCGTAGTACTACGTTATGCCATTTTCTCTCCTCTGGCATTATTTATTTTTAGTGTGACTACTCTTTGTAATTCTGTAACTTCCAAATTCTTTAATACATCTTTTCGGCCCTTTAAATATCTTCAATTATTTCCCGCTCTCCCACAATTTCTCTAGTCAAACTCTTAAATCCTGACACTAAGCTTAGACAATATGACGTTAATCAATGAGGGTAAAAAGTCCATAGTTGTCCTGCCAGTCTGAAGAAAACAAATTGGAAAAACAGATTTTTTAAAAAATTAAGTAACAAGCTCAATCCTGATAAAAAAGTTTACTTTAATTTATTTGAGGCGGCAGCGAGAGGGAAGATAATACAAGTTTACCATAAGAAGCGCAGTTATACTGCTGAAATCTCTGAGTTTGAGTGAAAATTTTTTATTATAATTGATTTTTATTAATAACATGATTTTCTTGTTGTAGAAAAGTTGACAATATTTGCTAAACTTGCCGTTGAATGAGAATGATGTTTCGTTTATAATCAGTCAAGCTATGTTTTAGCTTATTGCAAAATCCTTGAAAATTTTTGCATTAGAGACAGGTGTAGATAGCTCTCTGACTTTTATGTTTTCATAATCTGCAGAAAGTCAAAATTGGAACTTTTTTACCTCAAAGCTGCCTTCTCTCAGTGCTAAAATCTTTTTTTCACAGCTCTAAACATTTCCTGTGTACAAAATGAAAAATTATTTTGAGTTCATCAAGCTCTTTGATTTTCATGAAAAAGTTTCCTCTTTTTGTGTAGGCGTGAGTGGTGAGACCAAAGAAGTTCTGGTTAAAAATTTACGCCGTGACTTTCCTCGTGAGCTGGTGCCCATCGTGCTTGCTCCGTTGATCTACCCAAATTCCACAGATTTGCTTATGGATAAAATTAATCAAGAGCCGACCTCCTTAACCAATGCAATGGTGAGTCCTAATCATCCACTTATTTCTTGCATTAAGTTTTTTTGAGCAGACGGACCGTAACAATTTCATAATTGTGATCGGAGGAAATGCTTTTCTTTATCATTGTTTAGAATGTAATTTTTTACCGCTCTGACTTCAAAAGTCAGAGAGATAGAAAACTTTCCATGAGTACCAGAAAGTTCTGGTTCTCTCTCTTGCCTGTCTAAAATGAATCGAATGATCGAATTGAATACTTTGATACTGAGAATTGTCAAGTATCTCTTGATTCCGCTTGGTGCACCAAATTTTCAGGAGTCACATGTGTTTTGTTTTCAATGAAAATAAACAAAACCTTGGTAAGTATATCACTAAATATGGTATTGAGAAGAATTAAAGCAATGTATGAATCAGTCAATGTTAAAACGGGACGTTCGAAACGAAATGTTCCATTTAGAGACCAAGGATATCCTCATGCTTAGTTCTCTCAGTATTTTCATTTTAAACACGAAATTACAAAATTTCAGACACCTGCAAATTTGCCATTGGTGTCTAAAATGGGGAGTTCCTTCCTGTCGCGCTCAATTGATGCAGCGCAGCGCCAGAAGATGGAAAAACAAATCAATTTGCTTAGAACTTGAGAGATAGTTCTATTTTTTCTTCCGAAGAACCTGTAAGAAAGTGAGAGAATATCCAGATTCTGCTCGTTTAAATCAGGGAATTTCAAAGTTCGAAAATTGTAGACTCTACAAGTTGAACGTTCTCTTGTTTCTAAAGATTATCTTGACGTAAACTCAAGTTTTTTCGATTTTGCTCCCTCCGCAGCCTGGTCATTTTTCTTTTCCTACTTTTGATTTAGTCATTTAGCTCATAGATACTAGTCTCTAATGTCAGAGATAGTAGAACCGCGGGAGTGGACAGCTCTCGAACTTGAGGATCTTGAGGGGTCGCGGAATGGGTCAACTTGCAGTCTGCTTACTCCGCTACCTATTTTTCAGTTCAGCTTTTCACCCAGCCGAATTGGAAAATCTTAACATTTGTACCTCTTGGCCCGTGTTGTCATGAAGTTGTAGTCATACAAAGCAAAGTTGGCTATGGGAAACTTGGTAAAGTCAAGGCAATTCTGAATTTCCGTGGCCACCGTAGGCAAAGGATAATCATCCAGGTTACGCGAAAACTTGGAAAACTGGGGGAAAAATATTCCCTTGCAGTTATGATTTTATCCCTTGTTCATTTTGCCAAATATTATAGAATTTCGTTGCAGAAACAAATCAGGTTGATTTCTCTTGTTGATACCTTTGGTGGTAATAAGCAATGGACCTTTCAAGCTTTAGTATTCCTGTCCAGGATGTCTTGGCATTTTAAGTTTCTTCACGACTGAAGGAAAGGGCTTGGACATCCAAGTATTTTTGTGGGTTTTCCAAAATTTTTATCCAAAAAAGAGTCATCACTTTACTTGAAAGGTCATCAACCCCAATCTAGCATTTCTTGGAAAGCATGAAAAATGAATGAGGAGCGTTCTAAGTTGGAAAGAAATTTCATCTCCTCCCTTACTCTCGTCTCACCAACAATTTTCTTGCTGCCAGAGGTAGCCTAGTCAGGGTGTATGCAAACCTCCCCCCCTCCCCAATGACTTAAAATTTGTCCCTACTAACTCTCTTCTCTACATTTCATAATGCCCCCTCTCTTCTTCCCCCCCCCCCCTTCATAAAAAATTCCACATGAAAATACTATTATTTCTATAATACACATTATTCCAATAGTTTCAATTTCTTTTAATCCGAATATGATAATTATTTAGATTTAACTATTTTATAAAAACACAAATTGTTAATTTAAATATAACTTCAATTTCTCGATTTCTCTCAATCTTCCCTGTTGATTTTTTAAAATTCCTTCACCCCTCCCCCCCTCCCCCCGCATAGGCGGATTCTGAAACTTCAAACAAGGAGGAGGAGGGGGGGGGGCTTCCCCCAGAAAATTGTCGAAACTTTTCAGAAAAAAATATGCAGTTCAGTCAGTTTCATCATGAATCATTACCTAATACAAGGTTACGATCCTTCCTTTTTTTTCCTCCGTTCCTTCCTTCCTTCTTGTTTTCTTCCTCATTTCTTCTGGCGAATGGGGGGAGGAGGGGGCGTACGCTCTTTGCCCCCCCCCATCTACCCATATTCTCCCCCTCCCCTCGGTTAATCGTTCGCGTTTCTTCGAGTATTCGCAAGTCAACCATCCTATCAATTCTCTATTCTTCCCAAACGCTGCCGTTCGTTTGTTCGTAGTTTCCCCTTTTAATAATCTGTTCTAACGTTGTAAATATGAAAATTAAGGAAGAAGTGAAAGGAGTCAACAAATTTTGTAGCATTCGGCTTTTCCAGTCGCCCCCCCCCTCCCGCTAACCGCGTTAAGCAGAAATGAACCAAGCCACATCAGCTATTGCCAAATTCAATCGGGCGGTTTCATTTTTCACATGAAAACTTTCGTGCGAATTTTTACGCAAATTTCAGTGAATTTTCTCCATAGTACGAAGCAAATTCCTCCAAATTTTCGAAGGAATCCGCACCAACATTCTTAGTACTAAAAAAATTGAAGTACCCCGTCAAATTCGGCAATAGCCGATGTGGCTTGGTTCCTTTCTGCTAAAGTCGGTCCAATTGATTCCTCGTTTTGACACCGACCCCGATGAAACTTTTATCGGATCAGCTGATTCGGATGTTAAAAAAATTTCGAGCCGACCGCCGTGACCGCACAGTGGTTCGAGTCAATTAGTGAGGTCGGACACGAAATTTTTGACTAAAACTGCAAATTTCGACGTTTATTTTGTCATATTTTAAAATTCAAGGGGTGCTTTGAGAAGGAAATTCCACGAGGAAGCCAATGGAACCACTTTTAGAACCTTAACGATTTGTAAAGACGGAGTGATAAGCGTTCAAAGTTTCCACATTTTGTCCGACCTATCCCACCAACCAGATCCACTGTGGGCCGTGTCACCACGCACGGGTTCACTCACCGAAACCGTGAAACTCCATTCGAGCCTGAGAGATATGCCCCAGGTTTTCGCCGTGCCAAAACCGACTATCTCTACCGCGTCTCCGTCGGACTTACGCGGTTTTTGTCGGTGCGTCGTTTTCTCAGCCGCGAGGCTAAGTTTTCTCTTTTTCGGTGCTTCGCCCGTGATCGTCGATCGGTTGATAACAATGAAGGATGAGACGCGAGATAAGGATAGTTGATTTTTTCCCCCCGTGGCCGGGTCCAGCCTCGTCCGGAACCATTGTCCGCAAGAAGGCCTCGCGGTCCTCGCCAGAAACCACCCTCATGCTGCGGAGATCCCGTCGCCTCGCAGGCCGCAGTCGCCCCGTCGCGACCATGTGTAGCTTTAAGGTTAACCGCTTTTCCGATCACCGTAGTGGCTTTTCCTCGACTGTGCGCTTCGTTCGAACCCCGTCGCCGTAGTGTAGATGCTAGCTCGCTTTTAATCTAGTCATTTTAATTGTCGCCCGTAAATTATGAACCCTTATCTAGTCGCTAATCCGTATTGGATCTACTACGAAGTGCCGTTCGTCGAGCCACCGGCCCCCGTGTTGACTCGCTTCGACTACAGAGCTAGTAGCCCACTGATTTTCAATGAGGTTGTTGTTTTTGCCTCTCGCTCCTTTTTGTGGTTTAGGTTTCTGTTTGTTCTTCTATTCTGCCGTGCTAAGAAAAAACGCCGTATGAACCTTTAGGTGTTGCCAAATTTCCATCTCCAAAACACAAATTTCCTGGTAAACTTATAAATTGTTTTCTTCCAGTTTTTCAGATAATGTTGTTTGCAATTTCACCTGAAGTTTCTGAAAATTTCCAGGGAAAATATTCATAACTTTCCTCAAAAATAAACATTTTATTGAAAGCAATTTGGCAACTCTCGAGTGTTCTTACGGCGTTCTTACTTAGCACGGCAGTATTGACCTGTTCTCTCAGCAGGTTGCTCTCATTGGTGGGGCTCTAAATAATTTTCGATGGAGGCCAATGTGAAGTTTTCCTGGAAGCCGATGGTTTTTTTTTCTGCAGCGAGTAAGCGCTGCGATTAGTTTTTTTGTCGCTACACTTGGACAAAGTCAGTGAGTCAGTACACAGATTTAATTTTGAGCAACTTCATTCTTCCACAAACTGATGGGTCGATATTGTTAGAGCTTGTCGATTCGACTCGTTGTAAGCGTCACTTTGATTCATAATAACTAAGAGGATTTGCATAATAGGAGGAAAGTTGATGAATGCATCATTGTGTCAGCTTGCTTAATCTAATCTAAATTTTTATCGTTGAGGAATTTTTTTTCATATCCCTGACGCCATCTAAAAATATTTGACCTGTCAAAAACCTCAACGTTTTTCCAGAGTTTCAAATTAGCAATACCTTTTTAGAGTTTAAAGTGCCTTTGCACTCATGAGGAGGTTGGTTTGCTTTTTTGATCTCTTCAGTAAGAAGTAATGATTTAAAATCAATAATGCTCGGTATTTATTTTTTATCAAATTCTTGAATCTCATTAATTCCACAGAATTTTCCAGTGAATTCTCATTTCTCTGATAATGTGTGCTGATAAGTATTTACTCACTTAATGTGTTGTTTTAATCAAGCTTTTAGAATTCTAGAACTTCCTTTTAAATGTCTCTTTAAGTGTCACCTACATGATTGTCATCAATTTTTACTTTATATTTAAGGATATATTAAGTATTAATTCTGGTGCAAGTACAGCAAGATGTTGAGGATCAGGTTTTCTTTAGCTCAGCATGAACTGTCTTCTCAAACTGTGCTCACACTACGTTTAGTTGCTTTTGTATCGTAGACAGGATGTACAAGGAGTAGAAGGTATTTGGTCAAGCACTTGACTCATTCTATGAATGTGCCTCCAGGTCTTGCATCAACGGCTCAGTTTCTGCAGAACATTAGTATGAGACACATGCTTTGTTAGTGCTCTTACATAGGTTGTAAACGCAAGAGCTTACAATGAAGTTTCTTGTCAATTAGGTCTTTTTAACCCAGATTTTGCAATCTGCAATAATTTTTACAAATTAGTCACCACCTATCTCATCAGAAGTGAAGGTTGGAAGTCTGTGATCTTGCTGAGTTGTTTTTATTTTGTATTTATTATGGTTCTTGTGTTTTAAAATTGTGTACAACATTTCATTTAATTTTTATTTGAAATTGAAGCATTAATGTGTTAAGCAATTTCTGTGATTCTCACAGACAGCTCAAAGAAAAATTCCTGAATCTTTTGACCGTTCATATTTGTCTGACAGACAAACGAAATTCAATATAACAAAAGCTATGTTGAAATTGATAGATTGATTTTTTGTGTTTATGAAGAAAATTCATTCAGCTTATGCAAGGCTTCATGGAGGATGGGTTTTTTCAGTATAAAGTGATTGCAGTTCACATTTTTGTTGTATTCATAATTTGCGTGTCATCATGTCGGATATATCAGATTTTTCAATGCGCCATCTTTTTTTTTATTTCAGTTGGAAAATTCGTTAGCAGATACAATGCTGGAGGTGGGTTACAGCTGGACAGAAAATCTAGAAGGATGTCGAGAAAGGCTGTCCAGCATGGCTGGCGAAATCAAACCTGGTGTCGTCGCGAGGGTTCTGGGTATGATGGCGAGATCGCATACAGGACTGCCATCATCTCTCTGGCCCTCGGAAACAGACAAGCCTGACCAACCTCCACTGAACACATGGAATGTCGATGTCTTTGTCCAAGCCCTCAAAGAAGTTGTAAGTACCTAGCTCATAGTGATATTTCAGTATTCTGCCTGAGATTTTCGGAAATGCTGCCCATATCAGAGACTCAAGGGGCTTGATCTAATTTTATATGACAAAGGGCTGCTCATTAATTATAGCTTGCATTAAGAGAAGAGGGTTATTGTTTCACATTACATTGCTCCTCTGACGACGGGCATATCTCTATTTCTTTTTGAGTCATGGAAAGCACTGAGTTTGGGAAGAAAGGGGCTCACAAAAAAATTGATTTATGCCCTAGATAGTAGAGTGTCGGTAATAAGGGTCCAGAAAGGATTTGTCACTGCATGACATCATTTTAAAATCAAGGCAAAGCACCATTTACTTACAAACAAGTGTCAAAGAGAACAAAAGGGTGACAGAAAAAACATGAAATATTTTTTTCGAAAAGAATTCTGAAATTCAAAATTTCAGCACAACATGCTCATGAAAGAGCAGCAAAAACCAAGATTGAATTTATCTCAAAATAGTTTGATTCTTTCTAAGTAATTCTCAGTTCTATACAGCAGGACTCGTATGCTATCACAACCATCCTCTTGCTTTCAAGTCCTGTAGTGAGATAGCACAGTACATATGATTCACTTGTGAGTGTTGAAGCTATCACAGGGTGATCCATAAGTCCCACACCACCCTTTTAACCCCCAGGGCTTGCCTTTTTGGAGGGTAGTCCCATTTGAATTTTGGGGGTTCCCAAAAGTCGTTTTGTTTTTACATAGGAGCACCCGTAACATTTCAAGTCTCCATCTAAATTTGTTCAAAAGTTTCAGGGGTGATGCCTAGTGCTGGTAGAGCAGGACTTTTGAATCACCCTGAATATCTTTTAGCTCTATTTTACCTTTCAACATAATCTTAGGACTACGTATCATCCTCTGTTTGATTCTGTTTTTAAATGTTTCATTTTTATTTTTTTCAGGCCCCCAATTTGCTATGGCCTGAAGTTATACGAGAACTAGACTACCCAGATTTTCTCATCAAGGATAGGAGAGGCCTCAGTCTCGTCATTACAGCCCTTAGGTTAGGATTACAGTCTCAAGGATTTCCCCTCGAAAGGTTTCCTGTTGAGCTGTTCTATCGGCCGTGGAAGTATGCTGAATGCCAGGTAATTAATACAAACTTTTGTCTTGCTTTCCCAGTCCAACTGAAGGCATTCAAGTTTTTTTAGGGCTTAACAAGCTACAAGATGCAAGTGACAAGATCAAAATGCTATTTCACTGCATTTTATTCATGGATATGCTTGAAAATAATGGATTATAGTAGAAAAGCAAAGATTCAGAGGGACAACAATGATTAATATAACTTCTGTCTAGTTATTATTGTGAGTGAGTTGAAGGAAGTTAAATAGCTGTAGTGAAAGAGAAAAAGCCATCAAACTCCTTGTAGTCATTGACTTTTAAATCATTGGTGACTAACAAGTTAAAAAAAACATTTTTGGCATTTTTCAAGTACGAATGTGAACTTTGATGCAAATGTGCACCAAATTGAGCCAGAAAAAAAAATTCCCTGCTGTACTATTACCAGATTGGGTAAGAATTGAGGATATTTGCATCCTTTTTTTAAAAAAAAATTGCCCCCCCCCTCCCACAATGAAATAAAAGATTTGTGTGACCCTAAAAATAATTTTCCTGCAGTTAATGCAGAAATATAATTTTTTCCAAGCTGGGATTGTTTTTAAAGCAAGACATCCCTTTCTAGGGTAAGTAAGAATTCTAGGGCAACAGTTGAATCTAGTTAAGCCTCTTAGTTTCTAACAATAAATGTTTGATTTGGTTTCAGTTTTCTCTCCTGAAACAAATTCTCAAAAACTCAGATGTGTTCTGTTTTGCTGACTACCCGTCACGGACAGTACCCATTGAATCTCTGAAGTCTCCTCCTGAAAGTGACAACAAAGAAATTGCCTCTTGGTGAGCCTCAATCTAATCCCATAATTCTTTGTTCCACAATGAATATTTTTTCACTATCAGTCGAGTAGAAATTTTCTTTTCAAAATTTTGACCGAATAAAATAAATGAAGTACAGTAAAAGAACACTCAACAGAATTCTGTCAGCCCTTACTAACTTCTGAATGAAAGGTGTTTATGTAATCTTGAATTGGCAATTAGTGAAGGAATGCGCTAATCCTAACCTTGTCCAGCATTCTTTTAAATGCCCATTTCTGTGACCGTCTGGATTACTTACTTGAAGTAGAGTCCCTTTATACCCAGAGTTACGACAACTCGATTATCAGCTGACTGGCAGCCGTCCTTGGCTGGCCATGGAAGCCGAAACGAGTGCACCCAAACGAACGATATTGAGGGATAAGGATCAGGAATCCTGCGATGTCTGTCACACAAAAACAACAACATCAACAAAGTGATCAATTAAAAAGAAAATGAGATTGGTTTGTGAATAATTTCTTAATCTATTTTCATTTTGGACCTATGGAAATAACAATTTACTCTTGATAAGCCGCTATTAGGTAATATTTTCATTATTCTTGTTCACATTCGAGGTACCGCCATCTTGGTGCACTCGTTTCGGCCTCCATGAGCGAGAACCAATCAGAATTGGATTTTTTTTTAGGCCACTTTCAGCCCAATCCTGGCCCAACCAAAAGTGAGTTGTCGTAACTCTGGGTATAAAGGGACTCTAACTTGAAGTTGTCAGAACTTTTTTATTGGGCAGTCGAAATTTTTCTCCTTTAATTTAAATTATATTCATTTATTTTAGATGGACTTTTTTATCACCAATTTTTTGTGGTTCCATAAATCTTGTCATTTTCACTAAAATATAGTGTAAAAGTTTCATAAATTTTAACAAGCAGTCTACTGAGACAACATATTTGTATGAAGCGAAAATTTTAGTAGACCGGTTAAAATTTTCACAGTATATCACTGGAAACTTTTTAACCGAGAAGAATATCAATGACGGAAGTGCAAAACCTCAAATCAGCATTGCAATGATTCAAAATTTCCGCTTTTATTTTATTTTTTGGAAGGAAAACAAACCAACTTTATAGCTTGAAGTTAATGCCAATTATTCTGCTGACAGAGAAGAAAAATCAAGACAGTTTTCAAAAACGTACCCAGCTTAGTATTTCCAAGAAAAAGTAAAGTTTATTAGGAAGTCTGCAACGCCGAAAATGGAGAAACTTAGTCTTGCTTCTTAGCCATCTATATTGACACTCTTTACCTTTTTATCGGCCAATTCAAATTATCTTAGAAAGTCCCATTTCTTAGAAAACCCATCTTAGAAAACCCATTCACATGATTTGATAGATCATAATTAGCATTTTTCCTATTTTTGAAGATCCTATTTTGAATGTGAAATCATTGTTTGGAACAGGTGCTGTGTGGATTTAGTAGAAACAATTTTACAACTCGCTGAAAGAGGTCTGTTCAATCAAGTGCAAGACCTCCTCAAGATGCCGATGCAAATCTGTCCAGACATTTTAACCCTAGCAATCCTACATGGAAACCTACCCATCACCCCGTTCCGGCAAGAGCTTTTGTCAAATCTCATGCCAATATTCTTCAGCAACCATCCTAATTCTGCGATGATCCTGCATCATGCGTGGCATTCTCAGGTATGAAAAAAAAAATTCTATCAGTTCATCATTTTCCATCCTACTCTTAAAAAAAATTGGGCCCAAAAAAATTCCTCCTCCCCCCAGAAGCAATTTACACTACTCCTCTATTCTCAAAATGACTTTTGTGACCCGTTTCATTCCTGCAATATTTCCAATGTTCACTTCTGAGAATGTCCCATCGGCGTGCAGGCAAATTTGGATCCCTTCCCTCGTGAGTCTGTGTGGTCGTTGAAACCGGACCTAGATTCTCTCCGGAGAGTCTGTAGCTGCCAAGAGTTTGCCTACAAACTTACTTAGAGGGTGAATTCGACGGGCAAAGACCGATTTTTGACTCAAGCAAAGGGTAAACTCAGATCAGAGGGTGCGCACCCAGACTTTTTGACAAGAGATTGCTCCTGCATCAAGTTACCCGCAAACTCGACTCCCAATTCCTGTTGTAGAGCTCTGAAATGCAAAGCGGGTCCATTTAAATGGCTCTACTGTTTTTCTCATTTTTTCATTTCTGGCACTTGAGTCTCTTTAAGTACTATTGATTAAATTGCTGACCTGTTGAATTCTAAGAAAATGAAGCAAGAAAGTTGCGCTTATCTTGAAATAACCTTTGTAGGTATTAATAATTAGGATTGATTTCAAATTGGTTGATATGGTTTCAAATCAGTGAATGGTAGTTTATCAGGCCCTGAAGCACACTAAATTGACCTTTTGGCACCTGTTTGACACTAAATTGGCCTCTAGACAAGCTATGAATTATAACAACCCACAACATGTTTTCTCCTCAGAACTTCATGAGTACAATGGAATACACAACGGAAAGTCTCGAAATCAACTCCTTAACAAGATATGATTCTTGACTATTATCATTGGTTAAATAGCAAGGAAGACAAATGATGTCATTTCTATAATCAAATTTCGGTTTGATCTCTTACAAAAATACTCATTAATTTCTCATTCAAGAGTTGATTTACAAATTTCCTGTTTTGTGAATCATTTTCTAGGTGAGATTGTGAAGTGGAAACATGCGACATCATTTTGTAGTTCAGAACTTGTCAAATGGTACATCGTAGATGTTATAAACATACCATTAAAATCTGTAAATTTGAATCATACAAGCACCTAATGAAATCAGTGTTTGAAACACATGCCTGCCAAACAGCAATTTGTTAGTAAGAAATCGCCTTTGGCTGCTAAGAAAATCGTTGTTAAACATTTTTGGGATATTTCGGCGCATTCTGCAAGGTGTTAACAATTCTGCCCTTCTATTTTCGTCAAGTTTCGTGACACATCAGGTTTGACTCAAGGCATATCGAAAGGGCAATTTTTCATTTTGGCCCCTAAGAAAAAAAGTTGCCGGCCAGATAGCTGCTAAGACTTTATGCTAAGTTTCAAACATTGAGCGAAATTCATGTGTACTGTTCCTGGAAAAATGAGCTTAAAGTATTCACAAAACCTCAGGATTATCGGGATATATTGGAACCTGAACTCATTTGTTTCATCAGATATCATAAAATAAATTATCAACTTTTGATAATGGGCTACTCCACAGCATTTCAATTATTAAGGTCTGCAATGTATACTGCAGAGGTGCAGAAATAGCAAATAAGCTATAGCAGCAAATTTCTTTTCAAAAATTGATTCTAATTCTAACTTTATTTTGATTTCAGAGTATGTCTGTAAAACAAATCATCATGCATGCAATGGCTGACTGGTACTTACGGGGAGATCATGACCAGGCTCGGCTTTCTAGAATATTGGACGTGGCTCAGGATTTAAAGGCAAGTTCATTGAAATTTTTGGAAATCGAAAAATGTTCATCCTCTTAATCTTGAATAATGATAAATAAAAAATGATCAGTTATTTGAACCACTGTCATCTAAGTCAATGACAACGATTAACTGTCTTACCAAAATTTCAAAAATATTCAAATCCTTTGAATTTACTTTTGTTTCATCAATAACGAAAAAATGATATACTGCACCCACAGAAAACAGCCTATAGTCAGATTCTGTTTTTTTTTTTTCATTGTTCCGACACTTGAATGTTGCCAAATTTTCTCTTCGAAAAGATTTAATTTTTAAGAAAGGTTGAATATTTTCCCTTGAATTTCCAGACACTTTAGATCAAATTGTAAACGAAAGTCTCCCGAAAATCGAAAGACAAATAATTAAAATTTCCTCCAGAATTCGTCATTTGTCTTTGTCTGGAGACTCATGGCGTTCTTCCTTAGCACAGCAGCATTAGTAAACTTAATAAGCATAAATTACGCACCATCACAGGTGCTGACTTATTACGTTAATCATTCTCCTCTAAAAATGTGTACATCTTTGTCATTATGATAATGTTACAACAAGACTTATCATCAAGGACAGGCCAAGTGCCAAAAAGTTGATTTCGAGTTTTTCACTTCTGAATTTCTGAAAACTACTGCGGCATATAGCATTAACGCTATCTTTCAAACACTGTTTTACGCTGTAATTTTAGTTGTATGTGGCCAGTTATGTACCATGTTGTTCTTGGTGTTCAGAATAAAATGGCATATCCAACTCAATTTTCAATTTTTTGGCACCCAGCGTATCATAGATGATAACTGATAAGTCCTCAAACTATTTAGAGGTGGCATCCAGAACTTATTCATCCGAAAAGTCGCAATTTATTATGTCTCTTTCCACCGAAGATAACTTCATTTCCAATATTTTTAAAGCTCTGTCATAGCACCTCAATTTGACCCTGAACTCAGCAGATCATTTTTAAATGTTTTAGATCATCATGTATACTGATTTCATGTGACTTTCTTTCATTTCAGGCATTATCTCTCCTTCTAAACGCACAATCGTTTCCTTTTGTGATTGATCTGGCCTGCTTAGCATCTCGCAGAGAGTACCTCAAATTAGAAAAGTGGTTGAACGATAAAATCAGGGAGCATGGAGAAACATTTTTGACTGCCTGCGTGAACTTCTTGCAGGTAAGACTTAATGGATCCATCACATACACTTAATACTGGAAGGGAGGGAGGGGAGTACTCAGGTAGATGGTAGAGATGAGGAACAGACGTCAACAACACTGGTTCACAGGGTACTTTACGAATATAAATTATAACGCACTACTACAAAACACTACAAACTTATGTACTACTTCAAACTTCTGCTTCAATATACTACTTCAAACTTTTGTTACATTCTACTACAAACCTCTACTTCAAACCTCTGCTACTCACGCGTAGAAGTGCGGGCCTTTTTGCGTTAACGTTCACGACGATTGACCAACCGTTTTATAGCAGCGGACGAGGCGCTCCTTGGCCAAGACCGAATATTGGGCCTGAAAATCCCGCCCTGGGAAAGCTCGCCTCGTGCCGCTACCCAAAACAAATCAAGCAAGAACGTGCCGAGCAATAAGGCCGCCAATCCTTTGTGCGAGTAGCGGAAAAGGACCAAAATGGGACCGCACACCAGATGTACCGCCCTGTTTCAGATATTAAATTCCATTAATTATATTTATTTCATAATATATTAACACTGTATCTGCCAAGCTGGTTTCAGTGACCACTAGGCATCAAAAGGGTCACAGTTACTGGTCCTGTATTGTCCTACAGTGTGTCTTCATTGCTTCTCTAGGTGACCAAAGTGTTACTCGTGGGTCTATCATAAAACTAGTCGTGAAGTATGGGTGTATCTGATAGGTGGGGTCAGCATCAAAGTTCTCTGCCACTGATCATAGTAAACAGTAGCTCATTTAAGCGCTTTTTCGTATGTTCTCCCCTCATGACAAGAACACACAAGGAAAAAAATTTGGCAGGGAACAAGTTAATTATAACTAAATCAAATTTTTTGTGGCCTCTTGTCATCCTTTTCTCCCTCCTTTTGTTGCAAGCTTAATGTGATTGGATATGGAATCTTTGATAAACTAAAAAAAATTAATTGTTGATTGATGATGAAACATGTCACCATGCCTGTGGAGAATGGGTTATGAATTGAAAGTTTTACTTTATTGAACTGGATTTTGAGGAATGTTTGCAGCATACTTTCATTGTTTTGTGTCATTTTTGGATCTTGGAAGAATTTGCTAAAAAATAAAATCTTCTAGGCAGGTGCTTAGAGGTCGCACCAATATTACAAACGCCACCGGAGAAGGAAGAGGGGATCCAATCTTGCGCGAGGGGGAAAGGGGATGAAGCCAAGCTCTACATTAGCCTCTCACTGTGAAAAAGGAATTATATTTTCTCATAACGAGAATTTTCTCAACCACTTTTCAGGCTTTCTCCGTTACTTTCTGAGAATTGGCGGCCTTCTTGAACATAATGTTACTGGAATTTTCAATAGTATTCTCTGAATTTAGGAATCTTTGAATTCTGAATCTTTGCACTGGTTGAAGCTTTGTGAGGAATTAGCTATTCGTTTGAAATTGCATTTCTACATTAGTCCGAGTTGGAATGTGACAAAAAAACACATTTTGAAATCCAGTCTCTTTATTGAATAATTCACTACAAATCACAAATTTTTGCTACATCAAGTCTTTTATCTTATTAAAAAAAAAAGCAGGGCAGTGATACATTTTTTCCCCTTTAACCAACTGAACTGTAAATTTGACAGAGTGAGCATTGTAATAGAAAACAAATAATAGGAGACAAAAAACAAATCCAATTATAATGCATTTACACTGTTAATTTGTTGTTGGTCTAATCACTAAAATCGTGAAGTGTGCAGAAATCAGGAAAATTTGTGGTTATTTTATGTTCAACTGTACGACAAACACAAAATACTGTAACAAAGTAACATTGCTTAAAATAAGTTTTAGTTCTGTCATACTTATCACATAAACGTTCACAAGAACCCCATCTATCATGAAAATATGAAATATCGTAAAAATTGATGCCATGTCAACCAACGGCTTAGAGCTGTCATTTTAAGTCAATGGGTTAAATACGTAAGTTGCACTAACTCAAATCAATATGTACTGAATGTGCAAAAATCATTTAAAATAATGAAAAATGACAATTTTAGAATAAGTAAATTACATTTAGTAAAATTCTTAAAATGTCATGGAACTTCGACAAATGTTCTGTCAAAAATGAGAAAATGTAAAAAGTATATTAGTTAATCAAAAGAGAAAAAAAATTAAAAAGTTCAAAGTAACTTTAAAAGTTATTTTCAATAAAATTCCAAAAAAAATTTGACTGATTTTCTCACAATGATGAAACAATATTGAAAGTATAAAAGTTAATGGAAGAAACAAAAATTAAAATTAGAAAATTGACATGTTATTTTGAAGAAAATGCTCAAAAACTTCTCATGAAATATTGACGAATTTCCGAAGGATAATGAAACAACGCTTGAGGCACCACAGAAGCACTGGGAAGATTTTGATTCGATGGAAATCCAAATGATTGCAGTGTTTGATCCTGGCAATTTGGATAAAATCCTGCAAAAAATTCTTTGCTGCTACATACATAATGTAACTACATAGGTAATTTTTGAACGCTAAATTTCGAAACTGACAATGAATAGTCATTTTGAACATAGCATTCTCAGTGGAAGTCAAACAATTCAGGAGAGAATTGGTGACTGAGAGTAGTCCTTTTCAGCTAGGGTAAGCTCTCTGTGAATTGAATACATTTTTGGTAAAATGCTGATCCGTAGTATGGCCTGCAAAAATCACTAACTGTCCAGCCGTTTTGGCTCATCTCTTGCTCTTCATCTAGATCTAGGGCATATTTTATGAGGTTTCTCAACACCTCAACTCGAATGGGCACAAGGACTGGCTGATTTTTTTCAGTTTCATAGTACTGGTCAATTGAAAACAGATAGTATAAATATTGTTCTTGGCTTATTTTTTCTTCATCTCTCAGTCTTACTACAGGAGCACTTAATTTTTTAAATTCATTGCAGCAAATAATGCCACATAAATGCCTCTCCTCGCTATTTACATAGCAGTCCTTTTCTTCATCAAAATGCTCAAGTTCTGCATTTGTTTTATCAGCCAACACCTTAAGGAGATGCAGGAGAATATCCTCTGGAAAGTTGAGATCGCTAATGAGCGCTAATACTTCTTTGAATGTAAGCTTCTCCGCTGCCTTCTTTAAGTTAAGCTTTTTTAGGCTGGGAACTGACATTCTCTGAAACAGAAAAATTTAATGTTACCAACAAGCTTATTTGATATAAGAGTGTCAATCCTTAATTCTCCGCATCGGAAGGGTTGCCATGACTGCTGGCAGGCTAAATATTGAAACCTCTGAACTTACACATCAAGGCAATCCTACTAATGACGTTACTCCTATCTCTGCATGGAAAGTTCAACTGAAAAAAGAGGTGCTTCTTTTTTTAGATACAGACTGTCTCCTTCATCACAGCCTCCCCCGTAAAAACTCATCATGTGATTTCTTGTCTTCAGAAAATACCACCAATACCATGGTTTTCTGATTTGAGTTCCAAAAGTTTTTTGAAATATTTAATGGTTTAATAATCATTTCTGCCTGGAAGAATTTAATCTTTAACAATCCATTTGCTTTTACCAGTCAATTTTATGAAGTAAGGGACTGATTCAAGTAAAATTTACTAAAAGTTTATCTACACAGTTGAGTTCAAAAGTTTGCTGTTGTGGTAGTGAAACGACTAAGGTAGGAAGCACAATTTCAAAATTCTCAAAGATAACTTCAACGTCCTACTAAGGGTTTGTAGGGTCCCCATGCACAGTTGGAACTTTAAAAGTGTTGTCAGAGGAAGGAGGGTAATCTTAGCTGCTTGTTTTGACAGTGAGAAGTTTCAATTTCTTGGTTCACATTTGGTGTGGTGGCGCCATCAGGGTCTATCCATCACAGTATCCAAAACTCAGGCGCCAACGCGCCAAATACGCCTAAGGAATCGGTCATGGCGCCTAAAAAATGAAGGCTCTGCGCCATTGTGGCCCCTAAAAATCCCCCCCCCCCCAAAAAAAAAAAAAAATCATAGTTTTTCTGTTTGGTGATTTTTCGAAATTTCCCCAAAGTAACAGCTAATAGTTCTGTTGCTTAAACATCTTGCGTCCAACTTGTCACTAAATGCGCCGTAATACGTAGGTAACAAGTCAATTTGGCCCCTAAAAAATCGAGCTTGATGCGCCACATGTTTCCTGAAACTCGAAGGTGAGTCTCGAACACTGATCCATCACCTCAAGTGGTGATGAGCCGAGCCGCCCCGCTTGGCGCACTTGCGTCATTGCGTCGCAGTTTCCTCTGCCGGCCGCAGTAAGGAGCTCGAGAACCCATTCTCCCATCTCCAAACTCGGCATGACCAACTTAGTGGAGGGCTCGGCAAGACCTCCTGGCATTCAGTCTTTCATATTCAGTCATCAAGTAAGCTCGTGTTTCAAGTCGGGGTCCTTCTCAGTTTACCGCGTCGTAGACCCGCAAAACAGACGCGGCATTTCCCGCAATAAGTCGCGCCTTAGTCCCACACCAAAACGCGGCTCTACCCGCATAAAGACGCGGATGGCACCCCTTTGTAACATCATCCGTGACTATACGTCAGTGTGATTGCTAAAGACAACTTGCATCATTCTCCTACAAACCACCTAAATACCACCTTCCTTACAGGGGGGGAGGCTCAGTCTTCCTTTAGTTGAGCACATTTCCCCCACAAGGCATCCCGCCCTTAAGGCTTATCGTGTCATGAAGCAACATCTCTGGACACTGACTTAGGCCCTCACCTCAAATTGAGTTCCTACCGTTGAGACTGTGTTTAAAGTAAGTAGATTTGATGCAGACTGTACCCAATTTGATGTGACAAAGACTTGGCTTTTTGTCATCAAATCCAATTTAGAAAAGATGTTTATACAACGCATCAAATTCAGGCAGTTTAACAAAAATAGAGCAACTTCTAGCATGCAGCGACATTAATAATTAGTCTTTTGGAGTATAGAGTGCAAAGGCTCAGTGCATGATGCTATGTGATTTAACATGATTGTCAAAAGCACTGTCATAAACACTTCCAACATTCCTATCGTAGGCTCTAGGCCTAAACCAATCCCAACCCTTCCACACACATCTCTATCGTAGGCTTTAGGCCTAAACCAATCCCAACCCTTCCACACATAATGAAAACCTCATTATTCGTAAGTGAAAATCCATCTCTCATGTTCAAGACCATCAGAAACTGAATAATTTCATTTACTGAGAATGTAATTTTGCTCGCAAGTTTCTCTGCGTCTCGTTTCCAACAGTAAATTGCTTCTTTAGAATTCTTGTGTTTCATCCCTCAGATTGGTCCCTAAACCTCAAACTTTTGAAAGTGAATGTGTCTCAAGACCATCAGGAGTGAAATTATGTATTTTAAATATTGAAAATTATATTTTATTCCCGAGTTCTTGGTTAGAGCTGTAGGTTACCTTGCCCCCCGGGATTTTCGTATTTCACCTAACAGATTCATCAAAACCACTCTCAGAAGTTATTTAAGCTTCACTACTAATTATCTTGATCCACATTTAAGACTTACCTTAGCAGAAACACACCAAACGGAAATCTTCAAAACAATTTTGTCTCTCAAGAAATAAGTTCATTCACGGATCGGCTGTAGGGGGGCTAACCTCGTCGAAGTCTCTCAGTCATCTGTTGATACTTTTCCTGATCAAGACCTTCCTGGCGATAGCCTTATGGTATCCGACGATCGTGTATATTGTACCACTGTGACGTCGCTTGCTGACGCAGCCAATGAAATATCAGCTTATAAATTCACGTTTAACCCGCGAACCAATCATACGCTAGCTCTCGCGAGATATCGAAAATTTGTCTACGTCACAAGATGGCGCTCACATTTTTCTGGAAAATTCCTTACTCTACAACACTACCTCTGTTTGATTTCGGCTTAGAAATTTTCCCGCCAAATTGAGTCAACATAACCTTATTTCTTTGTTCAGAAGAAATTTTCCCGCCAAATGGAATCAACATAACCATATTTCTTTGTTCAGAATAAATTTTCGCGCCAAACCGATTCAACATCACCTTATTTCTTTGTTTAGAAGAAATTTTCGCGCCAAATCGATTTATCCTTATGGTTTATGTTGTTGGTCTTGGTTTCTTTGTTTAGAAGAAACTTTCGCGCCAAATCGAGTCAATATATCGCTATCTCTTTATCTAGTAAAGTCAAGGCGAATCTGACAACTCATTTAATTCTTAAAAACTTCTGCAATAGACTCAGTATGCTGTGAAACGCACAGAAACAGTAAAACCGCAATTTTGAATTAATGAATAAAAATATTACGGGTAAAATTTTGAAGTTTCCTATCGAATTCTAAGATGATTGTTACGAGTAACTATGCAGTCCCTGAAAAATCCTTAAAGTTCATGAAAAATAAAATTTCACTTTTCAGCAAAATGAAACCGTGAATTTTCATTTTGCATCCACTCTTTGTCTACTCTAATAGGCAGCAGTCCAGAAATAGGGAGAGGAATGTATCAGGAGACAAGGAACGAAATTAAGCATTCTGATGCATGTTTCCCAACCAGAATTTTACAAGGAACTTGATTCAGGCAACGAGAATCACTGAAATCAACTCCTACAAAGATATTTACGTTTTTATTTCACATTGGCTATGGGAAATTCGTTTTTATTTCACATTGGCCATGGGAAGTTTGAAATGCCTGGTCATAAGAAAAACATTAATCTACGCGAGTCAAATTGTGCACCACAGCGGTTTCGGCTGGCTTCTCAATAAGTGATGTTCCTTCCCTACCCTGTGTTGTTCAAAATATACACAACTTGCAATTGAGTTTGAGGTTGCCATATTTTCATACCGCAGGGACTTTCACAGTAACATTTAGTGTGCGATTTAACTCAAGTAGATTATTGCATTTTCCATGAACGAGAAGTTTGAATTTATGCATTAAGCAACGTTCATATCGTAGTGAGTTAATTTTAGTAATTTTACTGCGCAATTCGTGTTTTACATGAAATTTCAGTTAAAAATCATGTACTAGAATACTTCAATTTGCACCCTTTCTACGGGTCCATAGTCCAGCCTCTTTACCAGATCTGCCTCCTTTTTTCTGAACTCTCAGCTTAGTTTGCTTTGGATGCCCCCTTTTTTTCTGAATTCAGATTCCAAGCATTGTTGTGTAGACTGCCTGGCTTGCACAAGTGATATACATGTCAAAAGCTCATTTTTGCCAGCTTTGTAGACTCGGATAGCTTTCGGCCGGAATCCTCTTATTACTACCATTTTTAAATGGAACTGTTCTGAAAACACACTGAAAACAGATGGGACACCCCTCACAAAAAAGATCATGTTGTACCATGCAAATAATAGGAAGGAAAAAATTATCATAGTAGTAATAGTAGTAGTAACAGTTTTTTTATCGTAATAGTCAAAGATAATTTTTGTTTCATTTTCACCATTTTTTAAAACTCATTTTTCAATCTTTTGTGTTATCATGAATGGTTCTAACATTATCATACTATTAAAAGTGAATGTTATTTTAATTTGAATTGTATTAAAGTTGTCTAAATATTATGTTACAGAGGAAGGTAGCTTTTATTTTTGGAGGACCTCTGAAGGATGAAGCTCCGAAGTCTGCCCAGTTACCTCATGAAACGCTAAGCACCATCATAACAACACTACAAAAATACGCAGGGTTCGTGTGCTGATCTGTCACTCAATTTTCTCTTGTTTATTGGCTTTCTGTAGATTGAAATTTTTGAATAGCCATTACCTCTTCCCAAAATTTTTATTAACATATTGATTCAGAAAATTATAGTCCATTGACTCTATAACTTGAATTGTCCTTCAACTATTTATTTATACATTATTTCTAATGAGTACATAAAAGTGATCATGCTGTCAGATGAATGCATAGATGATGATCTCTGAATTATTGTTTAAAAGAATATGAGCTCTTTGAATATCAATCTAATAATCCTTCCTTATCGCATAATATTAAATACTCTCAGCTCTGAAATATTCTTTCAATGAGTATTAGCTCTTTGAATGTAAATTGGATTGTCCTCTTTTTAGTACATATAATGTTAAATACTTGCATGGCTATTATCATTTTTTACCAAGCAGCTAGCACAGAAGAACTACGCAGACAATACTTAGAAATTTTGCCCCATCTAAACTTTGAAATTATTTGATATACCCTATGGTCCTTTGAGCATGATGAGCTTTTAAAATCAAACTTTCCATCTTGAGAAAAACAGAGCTGAAAAATGAATTTTTCCATATTTTAACTCGCAATTTTTAGCAGAAATGTTGCTTCATCTTATTGCGATTGAGAAGATCTTTTATATCCTCGCCAGCCAAGAAGACAAGATAGACAAAAATAATGAAATTTGGTGTAGCGTCCGCTCAGACATGGTCTTTGTCCCAACTGTGAAACTCTGTTAAAGAAGACTGAAACATTCACTTCCCAGCCCTCCTTCCGAAATTGGTGTATTGAAAGTTCCATTTTAAAAGCAAGAGGTTGTAAGGAATATCATATGAAATAATATCAAAATTTAACCCGTGCCACATTTATTGGTATTGTGTACATAGTCTCTTGAAAAATATTAAAAGTAATAGATAATCTCTTGCATTTCAAATATTTTGTCTGCAAAGAGAAGGTATTAGAAATAAAGCAAGAAAGTGATCATTTTTAGTGTATTTTCCCAAAGAAAATGCTCAATTTTTTTTAAATTAAGTCAGCCAAAAGTATTTTATGGAGAGGATACGATGTATGGTTGGTAACTTCATTTCTGTGAAGTCATCAATTAAGTGAGGTTGCATTACTATGGAGTTAAAGATTTTTCTTGCAATAAGGCTGCTCATTTCAAGTGAAGCGCAAGGAAGTTTTAGTACTACTTCTTTAGTTATTTTTATGTTTTGTCCTGTTCTTATTATTGGATTGATTTGATTTAACAGGACTGTTTCGCAAGATCTCTCCGACGCGATCATGCAGATTGTTTCCAACTCAGCGATGTTGCTCTGCAAGCCAAGGCAGCCTCCACCTGGAGTAATCAGATCTCATCAACAAGCTTTCACGCAGGGTGCACTTTTCCAAGCCACCCCTCCAGAATCGATCGCCTCCCTTAGTTCCTCTTTAGCAGGCATCAGCCTCTCAGCTCCTCCATCTAGTACTGCGTTTAGTTTGCCAGGTATGGAACTTCTCTGATAAATCTGTTCTGGTTTCCTTCATTTTATCATAAGTGCTAGTATTTTGTACCGCAGTAATTTATAGAAAACAAAGGATACTTGCACAAAAAATGGACTATCTGCTTGCCAAGATCTCATTTAATCAATTGAAGAATGCTGCAATTGCCTTTTTGGTTTTCCTTTAACACTTGCCGGTTTTTTAAGTTTTATTGATTGCATCAGCATTTTGATGCTCTGAATGTCAAGATTTTCGAAGTAGAAACGAGAAGTTGAATGGAAAATAATTGCACTCAAAATTCAATTTATGATGTTATTCATCAAGATTCACCGTTTTTCATTCAGCGTCTAGTTCTTGCTTTGGTGTAGGATGTTTATAAAAAAGATAAGGAATACAAAGTACTGAATCAGTCCAAGTACACCTCTGAATGAAGTGCTTTTGCTTAACATCTGAAATAAAGCCAGTGTTTTAGCAAAGTCAGCGGATTCAGCTTGGTATTCGACAATATATACGACAGTCTCTCTTTGAAAGAAATGGAAAGTTCTTGTTCTTAAAAAACAATTTTATTGAAAAATTCACTTTATTCAACCTTTCTCTGTGAAGCAATTACACGTAATTCAAGCTTTCTTTGCAAAAAAACTAGATTTTTCTCTTAAATATTTCCATCTTTTTGCAGGTGCACTAGGACCATTAGTATCGAACCCAGGATCCCCATCCCGGCTGATACCACCCTCTCAAAACTCGCCGTACCTTCCCCATCTCCCACAACTATCTGGACCAGTAGGGACACCAACACCGTCAATATTGCCCAATGTAGGAGTTGGAAGCATAAATAGGGTCAGCACTCAATCTACCGACAAAACCAAGCTGAGTAAGTTAATTTCATTCATCCATTCGTAAAGATATATTTCAGCAGATTCCTCTTAATCTTAAATAAAATTAATTCTTTTTTGATGGCAGCAGTTGAGGTGAGATTAATCACTTACGAATGTATGTCAGCAATCGCACGTATAAAAATGAAACATGCCTGTATCAATGAACTTGTTGGACCTGACGAAAATCAAGGACAGTCGAATTTTTGTTTTAATGATTTCACAGGGGCTTTAAAAGTACAACGTTTTCTCCTGTAAAGTGTTATTTCAAGCAACTTTTTAATTAGCAACGGCCAGCAGGGAACTGAAAAAATGAACATTTGCAGGAGTATTTTTTGGAAAAACATTATAACGAGATAAAATTGTATACTATAATGGTACAAAAGCTGAGACAAATGAAGTTCCCAGTAAAGACAGATGATTATCGCATTAACGTATATTAAATATCTTTTAAATTTTGATACCAAAATTACTTACTTTCTTCTGTTTATCGTATGTTTTATAGGTGATTCAACAAATTTATACCCAGAAATCAGTCCTCCCGTCTCAAAAGATATAGAAGATGAAGCCAACAGCTATTTCCAAAGAATTTACAATCATCCACCGCACCCAACTCTTTCGATTGAAGAAGTTCTCGAAATGCTCAAGAAATTCAAAGATTCTCAAAACCCTCGAGAAAGGGTAAGTGGTGCAGCTCTCCCTTTTTAAGCCTCTTTTTCAGCGTTCTAGTAAGGGGAAATTCAGTTTCATAGGGGGAACGCTGATGGAGAAGGGAATTTCGTACTTAATAGTAATTACGCAAAAGTTGGAAGTTTTTACTAACTGCATGGCTTTAGTGCTGAATGAGTCCGCTGTACACAAAATGTACATCCAACAGTAGAGCCTTCTAGGTGTTTTCTTACGGAAATACACTACTTTTGGGTAAAATTTTTTGCAACATTTCTGTGATGTCAGTCTTCAAGAAAAGTGAGTGTAATCTTATTGTATGATTTATTGCAAGCAACTGTAAATAAAATAACGGTCATCTGAGATTTGATGATTTTTTTAGATCCAAATTGTCATCACCGATTTTTAATGTGCTTTATTTTATTTCTGATCCCAGGAAGTCTACACGTGTATGTTGCGCAACCTGTTTGAAGAGTACAAATTCTTCCCGCAGTACCCGGACAAAGAACTTCACATCACCGCTCAATTGTTCGGAGGCATTGTTGAACAATGTTTAGTTGCGTAAGTAGTTTTTTTTTTTTAGTTTTTTAAGCATTCTATTTTTCTTTTTCTTTCGCTACCAATTTTTGAGCTGATGCTCTGAATGTAATAGTTTCATGTTAGTTTTGTGAGCTTGATTTTCTGCCCCGAATAAAAAAAAAGAAAATTTCAATTAGAAGCCCGAGGGATGACAGAACCCACCCCAAGTTCAAGTGACCTCCATGGACAGCATTTTTCCTCAAGTAACTGAAAGTACCTGTGTATGTGAAGAAATCCAGAAGTATGTCATTTCTGAAGTGAGACAATAATGCTGGCCTGATATCAATAAGTGGTTGTTCACGTAATACATAATGCTCTAGAGAAGATAAAGGAGATTGTCATGACATTTTTGTTTCACATGTTGTAGATAGGGATCTAAATCACAAAAGCGTTATGAGAGAGGATGGGGATGGTCGATAAATCTAAAATTATTCTATCTCTTTGGTATTCTATGAATAGCGCTAAAAAATCATTTCTGCGGTTTTTCATGATGTCTTTTTGCAATTTATCAGATGTAGTTCTAGATTCTTCTTTGTTTGTATTTCCCTCTCCCCCTTTTAATCTCTCAATCAATGCCCATCTCAGATTGATTTGGCAATATTAAATGCATGCTCTCAATAGATGAATAATGGCTCTTTTCTCTTTTCCAACAGGAACTACGTTGCTCTTGGGCTTGCTCTTAGAGTTGTTTTAGACGCTCTGAAGAAACCGCACGGAAGCAAGATGTATTATTTCGGAATAGTAGCCCTTGACCGATTTAAGTCTCGTCTGAAAGAATTCCAGAAATATTGCGAGCATATTTCTAGCATACCTCACTTCAATGAATTTCCTCCACATCTGATAGAGGTAAGTTTTGCCCACTAGGATTTATTTTCTATTCGAATCTTGAGTTAAGAAAAATGTATTTGCAATCAGCAACCGAGTGAATTGAAAACTAATTTGGCCAATCATGCAATGGAGCAAGACGTGGATATGTAGCCTACTTTCAAGATATATTATGTGTATTGCACCCTTTAAAATCCAAAATTTCACTTTTTGAGTAAACAATTTTTCCTAGCTGAATCAAACCCAAAGAAGTAAGCAAGAATTCAATTTTTTCACATTTGTAATCCAGATCTGCTGAGCATTTTCCAATCAAAAAGATAATTTTAGACAACATTTTTCTCTTTTTACTCAGAAATATTGAAAATTCAGTATTGAAATAAACACCTAACCCCCTTTCTTCCCCACTCACTTAGATTACACATTTGTTAGTGTTGGATCTCTTCTGGTTAATTTGTATAATTATTGTATACTGTCTGTTTTTAAAGTTTTTGTCATCAAAATTTTTCTCAGCCTAATTCAGCTCGAGGTTATTTTGTAAAATTATTTAGCAAATGAGTGTCTATCTCCTGTTGAAACTAGTAAATAAATAAATTCCGAACAAAATCAAATGAAGGTATGAATGAAAATCCATATGTTTCTCTTTGCTGTTCATTTTAAGCTGAAGCTAATGAATTCCTTGTTCAAAGTGATTTTTATGCCTTCGAAGCGTATTCTTATTTAAACGTGAAAAAATCTGCCTCACACATATCTATGCTTCTTATCCTTTTACAGTACATTGAGTATGGCAAACAGTCGGAAGAACCGCCGAACCATCCAACCGGACCAGTGATACCGCCGCCTCTTGCCGGGTTGATGACAACCATTGCTGCAGCATCTTTCAAAACGATGACAGCCACGACAACCACTGCCACTATCACAACTGCTGCATCCATCAAAGCTGCCAGCTCTTCAGTGCTTTCAACAAGAGTAAGTTGCTTCTCCTCTAATCCGACAACTTTTGGTCCTTTCGAGTAAATTTCAATGTATCCCATCAAGATATCTCCAAAATTGTCATGAACATGAAATGTTTATCAATTTCATCTACAAATGAAATTTCTTTATGAAATCCTACTCATATGAGGTAGACTCTCTGTAATACAGTCGCAGTTAAAATGAAAATTTTCCATGATTGTCAATGCTTATATGAAATCTCAACACGGCAGAAATAACCTTGTTATCCGCTTTAGGCTGTGTCAAAATAGTTTCATTCATCTATGGAGCTTTTGATGAATAACATGTTCAAAAACTGTAGGGGTGTAAAACATTTTTGACCTTGCGACTGGGTGGGTTGCCAACGATCGCATGAAAAAATGAGAATGCCCTGAAAACAGGTTTTATGAATGAACTAATCGGGAAATTCATGTATTTTGCAAAATTGCAGTAAATGCTTTTCACAAAATCGCAGCAAATTTGACATAGATATATATTAAAATTTCGTCACTCGGAGATTTCTGAAAAAAAAAGAAGTTTTTGAAGAGGGATTTTTAAAAAATGGAAAAGACAAGAAGTTTATCCATCCGCGGAATTCCCCTTGGCTCAAGGCAGGAACAGCTTAATTTATGTGTAAATGCACTTTAATTTTATGCATCAAGACCTGACAATCATAAAATAAAACCTAAAACTACTTATATTTTGAATTTTCAAAGAATCGTAAAGTACATTAATATTTGGTTGAATTTGGTGCTGGATCAGCCTGTCGGTAATCATTTTTTTGTTATAATATAAGTTTGTCAGCTTTGTTTTTCTTGAATTCTGACTGTCGCCATTTTCCTCTTTTAGCCATCAATCGCAAATGCCACCAACATTGATACACTTCTAGTCGCAACAGAAAAAGACGACAAAATCGTTGCTCCTCCCGAAACAATGCAAGACAAAGTAGCCTTCATTTTCAATAACTTAAGTCAGCTGAACCTGCAGACAAAGGTATTACATTCTTCTTCTTCTTTTCACAATTAAGTGCTCTCATTTCAACACAACAAAATGTAACAAATTATGGCTTTGAAACCAGGACAGGAAGTATTTTGATCAGTGAGTAAAATCTGATTTTTAGGTAGAAATGCTCAACTGATCAAAGTCATTGATTGCTTTTTGTATGACCTTTGGTACATTAATTTAATTTAATGATCATGCAATGTAATATATCATTTTATTCCTCAATTCATTTCTTGCAAACTTTGACTGCTACACTCTTCATCTCGATTAGTCATAGCTTTGCTGGTTATTGGAATTATTATGACAGAACACAGTTGCCGAACAGCCAACTTTAAATTTTCCCTTGTCATGCCATTAGTGTTACAGTTATTACTTAGTGTGGTCAAGAAATCAATACCTATGCTGAAGGTTAAAGAGTGTAGAAAATAGGAAATTGAGGATAATACCAGTGTAGATTTGGAAATATTTGCGAGTTACAGCAGGAGCGGGGATGTCCCATATTTTACTGATTTTCGTATGCTCTAATGGATTCTCAAAATACTAACCAATTTTTCTCCTATTTTAGTGTGATGAACTGCACGATGTTCTTACGGAAGAATATTGGACGTGGATGGCGCAGTACCTAGTCATGAAGCGTGCTAGTATTGAGTTGAACTTTCATGTACTGTATTCCAATTTCTTGGATGTTTTTAAGGTGCCCAAAGTCAATGAAATGGTGCTCAAGGAAACCCATCGAAACATTAAAGTGAGTTTTTCTAATTTTTTTCAATTTTTTTTTCTTTTTTTGGGCGGGTAGAGGGGGGGGGGGGGTGTATATAATAGGCTAATTTTGTGAAAAAATGACTTTAGAAAATTTTAACACTAAAGAAAAATCCTAAGTTGACTACAGTTGACTCCTGGAATTTTCGTTTTCATCTCTAGCTTCATGAAGAGTGCCAAAATTGGACTGTCTGCTCCATGATGTTTTAGAAACCAAAACTTATCCTTCAATCTTCAGATCTACCTATCTGATCTTCAAATTATTTTCCTTTCAATAGAAAGGAGTTTTTTTCTCTCGGTTTCAAATAAATGCACATTTATTTGAAAGCAGCAAAGCTTTGCTCCAACAAATTTAATTATTTAAGAAGAATTTGTGCCTCTCCTGGTAGAATTTTAAAAGTAATTTAATGTTAATTAGCATAAGTTCCTATTGTTCTTTTAACTTTTGGTCCTAATGTCTGCTCTTTCTGTTCACAGGTTTTACTGCGAAGTGACAAAGGTATTGCAAACTTTTCAGATCGTTCTCTACTGAAAAATCTTGGCCACTGGCTAGGTATGCTGACCCTGGGTCGTAACAAACCCATCCTTCAAGTTGATCTAGACATCAAGTCTCTTCTCGTCGAGGCATACCAGAAAGGACAGCAAGAATTGCTTTATGTTGTCCCGTTCATAGCAAAAATCCTCGAGTCTTGCAGTAAAAGCAAAGTAAGTGCAAACCTTATATATATATAAGTCGCTTTTATAGCGCTCTTTGGCGCTGTGCGACGCCTAATCGCCACAAAGCTCGGTCTTCCCACAGGTCATCAGGGAGTTGACAATCTCTTATCTCATTTAACACCCCCTGTCGCCAACCTCTCACTGGGCGTCCCCTACGTCTCCTCCCAGGAGGAACCCAATCAAGCATCTTTTTTGGCAGCCTCTCTTCCGTCATCCTATTGACATGACCATACCAAACAAGTTGTTTGGTCATGACGTCGAACACGATGTCATTTTCGACTTCCATTATCTGACGTGCAAACCTTGCTAGTTTAAATAAACACACTATTATTACTGTAAGTCTGTCGAAATCGAGAAACAGTTTTTGGGAATATCCTATGACCAAGATCCTATCGCGATGAAATCCTGTGTAGAAATAATCCTGCAGCCAAAATTCTACATTGTCAAAATCCTGTACTATAGAAACTTAGGAATGGGAAACATTGAATATCTTTACCATTTTTCTTGATTGTATGAGCTGCAGCTTGTTGTGGTCGGCCAACGGTGAGTTGAAAGAAATGAAAATACAATGTGAGTGCATGGAACTATTGTCAAAACAGCCAAATGATAATAGAAAAATCAGCTGAAGTTTTCTTCAATTCTACCCAAAAATTCGACAACAGGACATTTTTGAAGTCGGCGCAAATTTCCGGAAGTTTGTTAACATCAGCAAGGGACCGTCCATACATGACATCAGAGTCCCAGGTGGAGAGGGTCTAAGAAATGACATTTATATACCTAACGATGGAGAAATGGGGTCAAGCCAAACCTGATAACAGGTCAGGATTTAGGTCAGCACACCTTGAGAAACAATGAAAAAATAATGAAGAAGAACTAGAAAAATTGCAACCGTAATTAAATAAATGAAAAATTTGGTGTTGGTTGCTTAATTTACTGCAGATAAATAAACGCAATTCCATCAAAAGCATTTAAGGTTGAAGATGAATCAAGTATTTTCAGGTGCACTTTTCATCACTATCTCATCACTAACTCATCTATTTTGTTTGATTTTTAGGTTTTCAAGCCTCCTAATCCGTGGACCTTAGACCTGATGAACGTCCTAGCTGAACTTCACCAAGAGGCTGACCTCAAATTGAATCTCAAGTTTGAAATAGAAGTCTTATGCAAAAACCTGTCCCTTGATGTGGCGGTAAGTTTTCATTTGTTCACTTTGCCTAACGCTGTTTCATGCGAGGTTGGATTGAAGCCCAACCCATTCGCACACATAGACAAGCATGCATGTCAGCGCTATCCTGGAACAACTGTGCTTTTAAGAGGTAACTCTTGCAGTTGCTAGCCAATTGTTTTGGTCATGTTTGTCCAATTGCCTGATAAGTAGGGCCATGGATAGCTCCCAAAAAATATTGAATTTTGAAATTGGAAGTCGTAACTACTTTCCGGAGCTTTCCTCATGAAATGACCTGTATTTTTGTATGTTTATCCAACCAATTTATTAAATAAAATTCCAGAATTTCAGAAGCTTCCTAGGGTTTTGTAGCATTTACTTCCAAGTTTTTTTTTTTTTTTCTACTGACCGACATGTCAGGAAGAGGTTCGAAAATCACCCAATGACAAGGAAACTAAGAACAAAACAAGACTTTAACATTATTCTTGAAATACAGTAACAATTTTTATCGTTCTCATCATATATTCCTCTGTTTACTGCTATCACTGAGAACAAACTATGTGTTACCTTGCAGGAATTGAAACCTGGAACTTATTTGAAAGACCCAGAGGTTGTCAAACGGATCGAACAGCAACTGTCCTCCGGCCCAGCAAAGAAACCAGAGCCACCTGTTCCTCCGGCCACCATGTTGCAAACCAACATACCTCCTCCAACAGGTGAGCATAACCAATTTTTTTTTATGACCAAGCAGACCTAGAAACAGGAATGGATTGGTAGACTAGGACCTTATTCGAGCGTTATGACATGTTTTTTCATCAAAATTTCATACAGAACTAACATGATTTGTACAACGAAAATAACTTTAAGTGTCTTCTTACAAAGATACTATCGTTTTTTGATACACAAACTCAAACCTCCTGCTCATAATAAAAAACCCGAAACTAGACTAGGACCTTATTCGAGCGTTATGACATGTTTTTTCATCAAAATTTCATACAGAACTAACATGATTCGTACAACGAAAATAACTTTAAGTGTCTTCTTACAAAGATACTATCGTTTTTTGATACACAAACAAACTTCCAACTCATAATATAAAACCCGAAACTACTTGAATTGCATACAAAATGTGACAACCTTTGCAGTATAGACATAGGACAATCTTAATATTGGAGCTTTGGCTCAGCTGTTCCATGTTTTTTACACTTTGAACAATATAACGCAAGGAAGGAGCACTGTAAATTCAGAAGCCCACCAATACTGTTGTAGTGTGTGATTTGATTTAAGTAAATTTTTGTTTTTCATGTGAGCAGGAAATCCCTAACTTTTTGTAACCAGTGTCAAAAAAAATCTTAATATCTTAGTTGAGTATATGGGAGTGGATTTCATTCAATTTGCACTTAGTCTGGTGGTCCATCGTAAAATTAAGGAATTATCGCCATTTTAATCAGTTTACCCCTCAAATAGGGTAATCCAGGTCTTAAGTGTACGCTTTTCTTCTGAAACCAATATGTTTTGCCCCTCCAGAGTGTCTCTTTTAGCAACTTCTTCTGCTCACAACTCATCCCCTTTCAGTATTCAAAAATTTGCATCATTGGAACACTTCTTAAATTATGTACTCTATTTCATTCTTGGAGGGAGGAAATTTTCTTGGAAAGCCTTAGAATTTTTAAACTCACAACCATGGAAAATGGATTCAATTTTATACCATTTATCATACAACGTGGCTTTATCTTGCCCCCGCCTATTTTTTAATATCCTACTTCAACTATTTCAGCAATACCTACACCAGTAACTGCAGAAGAAGTTGTGCACGCACAGCTAGAGTCAGCGAGAGCCCCCTCTGTCACCCCTCTCATGGCCCCACCGCCTGTTTCCTCGCCCACTCCGATGCCCATAATGACTCCACCTGTCGAGCCAAGATTCAACTACAACAGCTTGAGCGTCTCCGTATCTGCAGCCATTGAAAGACATTGCATCTTCAATCCTCAAGTAAGTATCAGCAAAGTTATTCTTAGCATCTGATCTAATTTAACCATAAATAGAGAGTACGGCTTATTATGCTTCTCTGCCATTACTTTGCAATGTCACCTTCAAAGTGTTTTTAGTAAAGAGGAAAATTTAATGTAATAAACCCGCCAATTGATGGCCAAAGTGCGAAACCATGTATCTCTGTTTGCAACGTCGTATACTTTCTGCCATATTTTAGTTTTTCCTTGGAAAACTAGTCCACATAATTTCTAGAGAACTTCGTCTCTATTAGCAGAATATTCTGTCTAAATTTCAAGTCATAAAGTTGGCTTGTTTCTTCTCAAAAAAATCAAATAGAAGCGGAAATTTTAAAACATCACATTAACCATCCGGCATATCCTCAAATAGGAAATTTCACAGAAATTCATAATAAAAATCAGGTGTGTGTCAGGAAATTTGATTTTCTGAATTTAACAGCGACCCTGAATACACTGAGTGTGAGTATGTGACAACCATTCACAGTGCAGTCGAAAATAAAAATTTCTTTATTTAGCCATCCTCCAATTTACCTCAATTTTAATTTCTTTTCTCTATAATCAGCATTACTTACCCTAGTTTTTGGTTTGTTTTTGCTTTTGTAATTGAATTTTTTTTTTCCAATTACAGCTAGCGTTATTCCAAGCTTATCCAGGCCTGAAAGGAATGGTGCGGCAGGTTGTAGAAAGAGCTGTGCAGGAACTCATTCATCCGGTCATGGAACGATCTATCAAAATAGCTGTGACAACCGCAGAGATAATCGTTAAGAAGGTGATTAACTTAATTGTTCCCCTCTCAGAAATAAGCAAAAAACAGAATTTCATAGTTCAAGATTCTACAGAACTGGAGTTTGTAGAAGACTAGGAAAAGCAAAAAGAAAATGTACCTAAAATATCAGAGAATTTTGCAGAAGATGATCTCTTTTTTCTCTGATTTGATTTTTCCCATAGAAGAGTTTTGGTGAAAAATGAAAGGAAGACTTGTCAGATAATAATAGGAAAGTTATCCTACGGTAAGAAAAACTGATAAATTTACTGTCAATTTTAAAAATTTATGTTCAAAGTTACTCTTTCCTTAAGTAATTTGGTTTATTTAAGCATCATTTTGGCAAAAACAACCTGATAAAATTTAGAATTTTTTGGAAAAATCGAGTCAACACCTTATGCAACCTCTGCCTTTGACCTTGTTCTTGTAAGTTGACTCTAAAGTCTCTGAAATTTTTTTCAGGATTTCGCCTTGGATCCGGAAGAAGCACGAATGCGAGCCGCAGCCCATCATATGGTGAGAAACCTAACCGGTGGAATGGTTATGATTTCATGCCGTGATCAACTTCTACTGACCATTGTCAATGGCCTCAAAACCGCTCTTACCACGGCTTTATCTGTAAGTATCAAACAGTTCCTCCGAATTTTCCTCTGCCCGAATTGATTCAAATCTCCTTCGAAGTTGTGTGAAGGTTACGGTAAGTTCAGACGTGAAGAAGGGAAAAACTAAAATTAGAAGGGGAAAATTTAACTGATACAATAATATAACTCAGAAGAATGAGTACGCTAAGGCAGATAGAGATCAACAAAAATGAAAGTTGAATTTCAATCACCAAAAAAAATGATGAGACCAAGAATAGAAGAAAAAGCCAGCTGTCTGTCTCACAAGTGTCCAGACTTTGAAGTGCGCGAAGATGGCTGATGCTTCAAGGTCTGAGCCCCTACAGTTGGACTGCACATGTGCAAAAGAGGGAAATAATATAGCAAGGGGAAGTGAATCAGCCGCCAACTGGAAATTGATTTTTTCAAAATAACAATCAGGAAATATCTGGGGGTGACTAAGTCCATACTTCAGCACCAAGACTCTTATGTGTGTTAAAATGAAGAAAATATCGTGACAAAAGGACAACATTCAGTGAAAATTTGGAGCAATAAAGATGGATTGTTCCCCTTTAAAAACAACGGAGAATGAAAAAGTTTTTTACTTTACATTTTAAAAAATCCTTACCTTTAAAAAATTCTGATGAAGTAGGAGAAGGCTTTGAGCCTCTTGTTAGGAAAAAGTCAGGGAATGAGAATGGCTGAGAATTCTAGACACCGTGATTAAAATGTATCTCTTGAAACATCTGATAACCCTTGCTTTGAATTCACAGGGTGCTACTGCTCAGCAGAAAGAACTCATCGAACACACCGTCACTGTCTGCGCTCAGGAAAACATGGAATTGGCTTGTGCTATTATTCAAAAAACAGCAATGGAAAAAGCCCTAGTTCAGATGGACAAACATCTAACTACAGTAAGTCAATTTTTTTCTTGTCCGAGTACATCTGTTCAAGTTTTTTAGGTTGACTCGGGTATTATTTATATCAGGTAGATATCAGGTCCATTTTAATCAACAATAGACTCAAAGTTGGACCAAGGTAATTTTGAAGAAAAAAAATAGATCCTTAGATAATGAAGGCACTAGCCCACCTTGATACATGGTGGGTCATTCCATATAGAACCTACCAGCCATGCAACCGCCCGACTCGGATTTTGATGATGAATTTTTTTCTTGATCAGACCACCAAATAATGAACTTCTGTAAAATATTAGGTCTCAAATCGAAAAACTCACTGAGATATGAATTTTGGAAGTTTTAAGAATTTTCAAGAAAGAGACGTTTCGAACTTCCGAGAAAGAGAGGGTCATTTTCCCCAAAAAAATTCATCCCGGGCCCATTTTTCGTCGGATTGAAGTGAAAATTTGACACAATGTCCATGAAAGTATGTAAATTTGAGAATAAAATGCATAAAATGTTCGACTTCACTCATTGATGTGCTGCGGTTGATAGTTCGTTGTGATTTTGTCTGATTTTAGCGACAAAACCTTCCCCTCTTCAAATGCTCATAACTTTTGAGCTGCAAGTTATTTTTTGCTCCAATTTTTTTTGAAATGCTCCTAAGAGTATTAGAAAGACGCCTGAAGAACAATTCTGATGGCGTTTTGGGCTTTAGTATCTTTTTTTTTCAACTTTTGTCCGAAAAAGGCCTAAAAAACTGGAAATAACACCAAAATTGTTCCGATAATCGACCATTACCCTGAAAAGTCAACTCAAAAATCGCTCAATTTTTGCCTGAATAATCCTTACTGTGTGTACAATATGTTTGAAAAATAAAATCAATGGTATTTCGGGTTTATATATCTTTAACTTCGAGTTTTTTCCGAAAAAAGGCCAGCAAAACTGAAAAACACTGAAATTACACCAATTATCGGCTCTAACGTTGGAGTAGCAACTCAAAAATTGCTCACATTTATACTGAATGGTTCTCACTGCATGTGAAATGCGTCTGGGGAATAAAAGTGATGGTATGTTGGGTTTCCATAACCCTTTTCCCAACATTTTTACTCAAGAGAGGCTCGCTCAACTGAAAAAAGCACTAGGAAAATCTCATTAACCGACCATTACATTGAAAAAACAATTGATTGGGGGCCCAGATTTTTCACCAAAGGACTCTTGTTGTATGGGAAGCACACTAACTTGAGGAGTGAATATAGCAAGGGATTCACTCTTAAAGGGAGGGAAAAAATATGTACAAAAATCATGTATTTAGATATTTTGCGATAAAAAAATAGAATGTTATCAATAAAGTAACTGTAAGGTTTGCCCTTGATTTACTCAATTCAGAACTTAGTTGCTTTTTCAACTCGAAGCATTAAATTTACTCCAAAAAACATTTTAATTCACGTACGCAGATGGATACATAAATGAAATCTCAAAGTCGTTTTCTTCCTCTGATTTGGATAGAACAAGCCCAAAGAACCAATGCCTATCACGCACACACGCAACAACGAATTTGTTGAGATTTCTAGCATAACTTTAACTTACTCTGGGTTAGAGTAATTATTCAGGGCAATCAAGATCGTGATCTATATCAGCAACAGTCTAATTTATAGATCTGAAAATTCAAAAGTTTTTTGAAGTAAATTCAATGCTTTGAGTTGAAAAAGCAACTAAGTTCTGAATTGAGTGAATCAAGGGCAAACCTTACAGTTAGGTACTTCATTGATAACATTCTATTTTTTTAACGCAAAATATCCAAATACATGATTTTTGTACATATTTTTTCCCACCCTTTAAGAGTGAAACCCTTGCTTGAGATGTTGAGGAAATAAATAGGTAACTCAGTTTTTCAAAACTGTAATTACAATACTTAAACTCTAGTCAGCATGAATAACCTCCCTCAATTTGTAACAATTTAATGTTCTGATAATTCCTATTAGAACTTTTTATCTTTTCCATTAATTTTTATTTCAGAATACATTTGAAAGTTATTAACCTCATTATGATGCCATTCAGGAGTCAGTAAATCACAATTAATGTGAATAGGGATGCTGTCAACACCTTCTCATATTTTTGCCTTACATTTTCGAATATTTCTTATTAATTTTAGAACACTCATTAGTGATGGCTGGATTTCGTCCACTTTTGTCTTCTTCACCCCTATCTCCCAGCCATCACCAAGAATCACCCATAAATTTAATTACTAAACTTGCAGCTGATAACTACATAGATTATAGCCAGCCAATCTTGTGTAGGCTTGTTGTCTCACCACCCGTGACCTCAGCAAGACTATATAAGCGTGCGCTGCCCTAAAACCTAGGTCTGTCTGTCTTTTCTCATCTCTTAGACCCCAGGTTCTTTACCATCTAGACCCGTACAAGTACGTTTGTGCCCACTCTTGCCTTCTTGCACATTTTCTGAGTGACTATTTTCTTTACTGTTTAACTCTTGTGATTCTGTGCTATCTCTTTTGACTCAGTACAACTCTAAATTTCATCTCCAAAAATTCAGTGTCTATAATTCTCAATCCATTCTAGTAGTTTTTTGATTCTACCCTTTATTAAAAATCAACTGGTGCCGAACGGTCTCACAAACTTTCAACCCGAATTTGAGTCCATCACCCGTGACATACTCATATTCCATAACAGATGCCTATCAGTTAAGAGATACCTACAGTTTTATTTCCTTACTTTAAAGCCGATCGTAAAGATTGGAGTGAAGGGGAAAACTACTACAACCAAGAATACACAATATTAACTCCTCAAGTTAGTGTGCTTCCCATACAACAAGAGTCCTTTGGTGAAAAATCTGGGCCCCCAATCAATTGTTTTTTCAATGTAATGGTCGGTTAATGAGATTTTCCTAGTGCTTTTTTCAGTTGAGCGAGCCTCTCTTGAGTAAAAATGTTGGGAAAAGGGTTATGGAAACCCAACATACCATCACTTTTATTCCCCAGACGCATTTCACATGCAGTGAGAACCATTCAGTATAAATGTGAGCAATTTTTGAGTTGCTACTCCAACGTTAGAGCCGATAATTGGTGTAATTTCAGTGTTTTTCAGTTTTGCTGGCCTTTTTTCGGAAAAAACTCGAAGTTAAAGATATATAAACCCGAAATACCATTGATTTTATTTTTCAAACATATTGTACACACAGTAAGGATTATTCAGGCAAAAATTGAGCGATTTTTGAGTTGACTTTTCAGGGTAATGGTCGATTATCGGAACAATTTTGGTGTTATTTCCAGTTTTTTAGGCCTTTTTCGGACAAAAGTGAAAAAAAAAGATACTAAAGCCCAAAACGCCATCAGAATTGTTCTTCAGGCGTCTTTCTAATACTCTTAGGAGCATTTCAAAAAAAATTGGAGCAAAAAATAACTTGCAGCTCAAAAGTTATGAGCATTTGAAGAGGGGAAGGTTTTGTCGCTAAAATCAGACAAAATCACAACGAACTATCAACCGCAGCACATCAATGAGTGAAGTCGAACATTTTATGCATTTTATTCTCAAATTTACATACTTTCATGGACATTGTGTCAAATTTTCACTTCAATCCGACGAAAAATGGGCCCGGGATGAATTTTTTTGGGGAAAATGACCCTCTCTTTCTCGGAAGTTCGAAACGTCTCTTTCTTGAAAATTCTTAAAACTTCCAAAATTCATATCTCAGTCAGTTTTTCGATTTGAGACCTAATATTTTACAGAAGTTCATTATTTGGTGGTCTGATCAAGAAAAAAATTCATCATCAAAATCCGAGTCGAGCGGTTGCATAGCTGGTAGGTTCTATATGGAATGACCCTGGTACCAAAATGAAGATGATCGTGGGGCAAAATGAATTTTATTGGTTACTATTATTCCTCTAGCTACCAAATTTTTTCGTGGGTATGTACTTGCGTTTTATTATGTTTGAGTCTTATTGTAAAATTTCATTATCATACCTGTAAGATAAGTATTCATCTAAAAAAGAGGATTTTCTTACCATAATCTAAGTAAAACTTCAGCTTTATTCCAAACTGGAAGCAAGTTTCTTATGTATTTAAATATTAGTTGGCTTCACCTAATGAATCTTATTTTCAACTGGCAATATTACACATTAGATTACATATGTTTGGGAATAATGCAATTTTTCTTGAGAGATAAGATTAAAATTTGTTCAACATGTTGAACGCAACAACCAAACCAGGAAGTACGTGAGTAAGAGATAAACTTCTATATAAGAATAAAATTGGTCACATTTTCTGCCACATGCATATTTTTTTTTCAAAAAGATGATTGCCAAGTAAGAAATAGCAAAATTAAAGGAAGAGATTTCTCTTTTCCGCGCAAATCATCAAAATTTAATTTTTTTTCCTCTTACTTTCAGGAGTATGAAAGGCGGAAACTTGCCAGAAATGAAGGCCGCCGCTATTGTGACCCTCAAGTCTTGACTTATCAAGCAGAACGCATGCCTGAACAAATTAGACTCAAAGTTGGTGGAGTGACAAACCAACAAATGGCTGTGTATGAGGAATTCTTCCGCAATTTACCTGGTTTCCAAACCATCTCAGACCGTGAAGTGTCATTATATGTACCAAGACCAGACACTATGTTTTTACTCTCTGCCTATCAGAACAATGGATCATCACAAGTTGTACCACCAATGCCCTACAATGTGTCGGATGAAGTAGGCCCTGTCTATGATAAGCTTGTTAGCGACATAGATGCCTACGTCTCCGCTGTTATAAGCTCGCAAGGAGCTATGTCAAGCTGTCAGGTTAGCAATATGCACAACGTCCTGGAAGCCTTGATGATTGTCCGCCGCTCACGTGAACCTGTCTCTGCCATTCAGTTGATTCAAAAATGCGTTGAAGGGCTCCTTGATAACCTTGCTCCCATCCCCAACGACCAAGAGCTTGCCATTCGCTACCGTGAACTGCACTTGCGAGTCCTCAAAACTCTGCAAGATCAACGTGCATTTGGACCTCAGTGGACAAGCAAGTATGTTACGAAGTGTCTCATGGAATGCCGTGAAGAATTCAAGTACAACCTTGAAGCTATTGATGTTTTGGTGCGCTCTCATCTTGTCAACATCCCCCAGTATGACTTGCATGTGGCACAGTCAATGGACAATGGCCTCAACTACGTGGCTGTTGCCTTTGCAATGCAGTTGGTCCAACTGTATCTTGTGGATGACCGAAATAACGGCTTTATTAGCGACCAGGACTTAGTCAACACGATTGAGGTTCTCATACGAATTGCAGCTCATTCCAGGCAGCCACCAGAAGGACTCACCACTCTAATTGAAATTCTGCGCTCGAATCATGATCAATCACTTCTGCCGGAGAGACTTCATGCAGGGCCGACATCTCATATTCACTCAGGCATTTTGCAAGTTCAGGCCCGTGACTTCGAAGACCCACCGGACCTGTATGAAAAAACCGAATTCTTACTCAGAGAGTGGGTATCAATCATCAATAGCCCCAATAACAAAGAGCCACCGTCAAAGGCATTCAGCATGTTCGTTCACCAAATGAATGTTCAAGGTATCCTAAAAACAGACGATCTGATCACAAGATTTTTCAGATTAAGCACATCGATGGTCGTTGAGTTGAGCTACCGTCTGCTGTCTGAACAAACCGTTACAACCTCTGGTCAGATTCGTCTCAAAATCTATCACACCCTTGATGCATATGTTAAGCTAATCGCCATGCTCGTCAAACACTCAGGTGACACCCAGAATACACAAACCAAAATTAACCTTCTGAACAAGGTCTTAGGTATCATTGCAGGAGTTTTACTGCAAGACCACGAGTCGCATCATTCTGATTTCCAACAGCTCCCTTACCATCGAATCTTCATCATGCTTTTCTTAGAATTGAACTCTGCTGACCCAGTATTGGAAGCGTTCAACTTCCAAATCCTAACAGCATTCTGTCACACTTTGCACATATTACGCCCTGCCAAATCACCAGGCTTTGCATACTCATGGCTGGAACTTATTTCCCACCGTGTCTTCATCGGGCGTTTGCTGCAGATAACGCCGCAGCAGAAAGGCTGGGGTCTCTATGCTCAACTTCTCATGGATCTATTTAAGTTTTTAGCGCCATTCCTGCGTAATGCCGAGCTTGCCAAACCTGTGACATTCATGTACAAAGGCACACTGCGTGTGCTGCTCATCTTGCTTCATGATTTCCCAGAATTCTTGTGCGACTATCATTACGGTTTCTGCGATGTTGTACCCCCCAACTGTATCCAGATGCGAAACTTGATATTGTCTGCTTTCCCTCGCAACATGAGACTCCCTGATCCGTTTACACCTAACCTAAAGGTAGACATGCTCCAAGAGATTGCTCATGCCCCTCGCGTATCACCAAACTTTGCCAGCATGATTCAACCATTAACTTTCAAGAAAGACCTTGACTCTTACCTGAAAGCACGCGCCCCTGTCACCTTCTTGTCGGAACTTCGTAGCAACTTGCAAGTTTCAAATGAACCAGGTGTTCGCTACAACATCTCACTATTGAATGCGCTTGTTTTGTATGTTGGCACCCAAGCAATTTCGTTCATCCGTGGTAAAGGCCTCAGCCCAAACATGTCAACGATAGCTCACTCAGCTCACATGGACATCTTCCAAAACTTGGCTGTTGATCTAGACACAGAAGGCAGGTATTTATTCCTGAACGCAATTGCAAACCAGTTGAGGTATCCAAATAGTCACACACACTATTTCAGCTGCACGTTGCTGTACTTATTCCACGAAGCAAACACAGAAGCAATCCAGGAACAGATCACACGCGTACTGCTGGAACGGCTCATCGTGAACAGACCTCATCCATGGGGTCTATTGATAACATTCATCGAAATGATTAAAAACCCAACATACAAGTTTTGGAATCATGAGTTTGTCCATTGCGCACCTGAAATCGAGAAACTTTTTGAATCTGTCGCTCGATCGTGCATGGTCCAGAAAGCTGCAGGACCGGAACGAGAAAACGAGATGCCTGAAATGTGAAACGAACCATTTCAGGCACTGACACTTAGTGTTGCATAGATCTTCGCCAACTCACAATCTTGTCTACACTTCACACAAGCATGTCTCGACTCCGACTAACATTCATCTATCATTGTACGTGTTTCAGCTGTTGGATTTTTAACCAATTTTCAAATATCCCGTTTTTCCATTATTTGACTCCGGTCCATTGCTAGAGATTCGATTAGAGGTATCTAGAATTAGAAGGGTTGATTAATTTTAATTTAAACGCTCCGTTTTCTCTTTGTTTTTATTATACGTTTAAGTACCTAAGTCTAATTGTGATGGATAATGTTGTTTTTCTTGAGTTTATTTCTTTTTTTAATCCTTGTTTTTTTTCTGTAAATACTTATTATTGTAGTAAGCTTTATATGTACCAGAACTATTTTCGTGTCTCCTCTTTATTTTTCTCCTATTTTTTTCATCTTTATTTATTCATTCTGGTCAAAAAGGAATTTTTTTGCCTGGACTAAGTCAATTCAGTGTACAATAGAGTCTCAATCAATGAAATTTTTCCATGCCCCTCTTTTTTTCTCCTTCCTCTCTCAATTTTTATGTGTACTCAAATCATGCTATAGAATTTTTTTTCTTTTTTTTTGTGTGTAAATAAATGAATTTTTTTTCTAGTGTATAGAAGTAAACAACGATCGCTGTTTTCAAATTCTGGGTCCCTTGCTATTATTTGCGATATTGCATATCAAATCAAACGTGTGTGTACGTAAGTTTTTAGGAGGTTCCCAGTATATTTTAAGTGTGTAAATTTCGGAATTTTAACACCTCGATCTCTCAGTTTTTTACCATCTACAGTAATTTATCAAACGCACCTAAATCTTTAGTAACAAATGCTTTTGAAAGATTTGTAGTTTTTAATTTTATTACTGCTTAGAAGTGTCAAGAGAAAGTTTTAGGTTCTGAATTCTTTCTTTTTTAAGGAATTCAATGTTTCTTGAGCGTTGGGATTATATTTTTTTATAATATAAGAAATGAAAGTATTTTCCAAAATCAACCGGCTGAATTTTATCGAATGAATTACCCGCAGATTATGCATTGATGTGATGTGTATAGAACTTTATTGTGATGTCTAGCGTTAAAATATCATGTGATAATAATTGTCCATAGGTTTATATTTTTATACATTTTGCTCTTTCCTATTTATTGTTCAACGTGTAAATTTTAAATGTAAAATGAGATGTAAACAACATTGTTTTCAAAGCTGATTACTCCAAGTACTTAGTCGAACAAGGCAGTTATTGTCACTGTTTATTTTGTAAAATGTACATGATTTTCCTTTTAATTTTTCCTTTTAATGATTACGGATTCAAAGTCTGAATGAAAATCTTATTTTCCTAAGTAATGTAACCTAATGTGTTAAGTTTTATCGTTTTGTAAATTATATTACGTTGAAACATACTCTGTGTAAATAAATTGAATGATAATCAACTTTTAAATGCTTTCATCTCTCGCCTTCTAATTATCACCAACATACATGATACATTCCTCATACATACCTCATAAAATATTGTCAGCTTTTGCAATCAACAAAAAGAAACAAAATAGGTTTGATCTTTGATAACAAGGGGTCTGATTCCTAGTTCCTTGCCATAATAGGCCCCAAGATATGAACTTCAGCACTACGCAGCGAGTTTTCTCTTCAAAATCTCACAAGAAAAACAAATCACTTGACGGGAAGTCTGGAAAATAACTCCTAAACAAGAAAAAAATATTCACATTCAGCATTGTCAAATGGCAAAAATATAAATGACATCATTGGTATAATCTATGTACCTCTCATTTTATCTGTGTCAAACATAGTTTTCAATGTATCATTCCAAATATTTGATTTAGACACGAGCCCTAAAACCCATAAGGATAGATGCACAACAGGGCTCATGTCATAATGCACATTGTTCCGTTCGGCAGAAATATGTTCATTGAAGAGAGAACTCAGGGCTTTCTCTCTAGTTTGGACCTTATCTAATGCCCCATTGTCATTAAGATTCAGGATTTGTGAATGCTCACTTGGTTACTTACCGTTGAGCAATCTAGTCTGTTTATGTTCAAAGGAGAACCAACTGTACGTGGTTCCTTGCTGTATTTTAGTCTATCTCTTCTTCCAGTTTAAAGGAGAATAGTGTCAGGCTAATCATGCATCACACGAACATCATTTTTTTCAACAGAACTGATCCAACGGAAGTTCCTGGCCCGAAACTTGTTGATCGTAGCCAGCCACAAACCGTGTCTTAATATTTTCTTGTCGAAAGAAAGCTGGAGGGTAGCGATTTCCTAGGTGGACCATATGTATCTTCAAAGTCTGTTCTTCTGAAATATTTTATGCACGTGTACAAAATTTACGTCTCTCCTTTCGAGTTATACATGCGTCTCTCCAACAAAAGTAGATGGCAGCTAAGCAAGGATTTAGTAGATGTGTCAGAAGGATTTAGCTTTATTTATTTCTCCTTTTTTTAAGGCTTTGGATAGCTCTGGCTTGAGTTGACAAAACCCTATGATTTCATACATACTCCAAACACCCTTGCCACGCCGAAAACGCTTGATCAATCAGCGTTAAGCAAAAATTCTTAGTTTTTGAGTAAAAATATTGAAAATATTTTGCCGATTTTGAATTTTAACTCCCCGTTTTCCTTAAAATTTTTCGGGAAAAGACGGAGAATCGTCCAGCGATTGAATTTGGCAGTCTGGCGGAGAAAAATTTGTCACCATTGGCGACACACAATTGAGGCGGATGCCTTGGCAAGACATCTGCCAAGAGCGAAAATTGACGGGTTATGCAAGATGCATGTACCCCTTTTTTTTTACTCACTCCAAAGAAAACCACCCAATATTTCAAAGAAAATTATATTAATAGCTTTCCTTAACAATTCTCAATCATACAACTAAGGTATACATTTTTCGCATTTAGTCATTGACCTGTAAGATTACTACAGCCTCAGCTGAAAGTCACCTCACAACGAACGAATTACTATAATGGAATCTACGTGTATAGATTTCGTAGAGGTTAATTAAAGACACAGTAAAATTCTTCACTCGACGATTATTGAAGTGGACAATTCTGAAGATGTACACAATATGAATCTTCACGACTTCACGTAGGTGAAAGAGACGATTATAAAGAACAGCCAATCATATCTTTTATCGTGATCGTGTGATATTCATGAGGAGCATGACAGGAGGGGGTGGGGCACGCTGTGAAGAACGTTTTCCGTCTTTTTGAAAATTCGCGGTTTTGATAAACGCTCTCTGGCGGCCAATTAGTAAATCTTCGTGTGTTTACTTTTTCGTTCATGTTTCGTTCTAACCTCAAAACTTCGTTGATCGACCTGAAAAATATGTTCTGCTTCTGCTCGTAATTTTAGGGATTAGAGGAAGTTAAAGTTGCAGTTTTTTTTCTTTTCAGATCATTTCCTATCTTTTCTTTTTCTGCTATTTTCATAGTTTTGTGTCTTTTCCTTCATTTGTGCAGTTTTTAGTCATTTCAATGGCTTCAAGTTCCAGTAGTGTAAGTCTAGTTTTATTCTGTTTTATTTATTCGCCTTTCATTTATTTCTTCACCAAGGCACCCGATAAAGTAATTGAAAAAGTCAATTCAGATGCAATTCTCCTTTGCATTGCTGTCAAGATTTCCAAGGTCCATTGTGTAACCTGGACTAAACCGTGGAGCTCAACGTTACATCAAAATGAGTTCTATATCGAAGAATTTCTAAAACCTCTTTCCGTTTGTTTTCGGGGGACTCGTAGGAGTGCCTGAATAAGATTATTGTCGCATTAAAGGCAAGATCACAGTCCTCATAATGTGATCCTCCCAATGTGATCATTGCCTCTGTTATTCATTAGTTTTTGGCTCTTGGACTTTTGGGTATCTCCACCAGTTTTGGCCAGTAACGGCGGCTGTTAGTTTAACCATACTTAAGCAATATTGTGTTCTCTACCAAATTTTTGTTCGTTAAAAAAATAAGGTCTTACAGGTGTCAGTTCTTCATTATTTCCTGAAATGCTTTTTGTACCAGATTGTTGTCTAATTTAATCTATTAACCTTATTTTTGTAGAAAGTGGAAGACCACAGGCGGAAGTGGGATGCCGACGAGTATGAGAGAATCGCTGCCAGCCGCCTTCAAGCGGAACTTGAAGCCCAAGAAAAAGCCACCAGCAAGCAACCTGCAGTCCGCAGAGAACTATTGAAACAGAGAGATTATCGAATTGATCTTGAATCGAAGCTGGGGAAAAGTGTTGTCATCACCAAAAATACCCCATCTTCGCAAACTGGAGGGTAAGATTCTATTGAAGTAGGGTAATTAAGTTTTACATTCTTACAAAAAGGTTCCACCTTCTGATTGCTCTGTTCTATGGTACAGCCCTCAAAGAGTGGAGTGTCGACGAAGATACACTTTTGAAGTGTACGTTCGAAGATAACATAATATCTGATAATAACGATCAGATATTACGTTAACTGACTACAACACATTTACTTTTTTGTTAGGCACTAAAAGTTGTGATGTTCCCTATCCGCCCTATGATCTATGAAAGTTCGGATAAAGTAAGTACCCGCTTAAATTTTGAATGAAAAAATTTTCAATATAAGAGATCAATGGTTAATACCTACCCTCTTCATAGCTCTCTTCTCTCACTAGAGTCAATCAATTTTTGGGTTCAATTTCTCATACTGGGCAGCAAGTATCTCGAGAGATAGGTATTGAAAAATTGTAACAAAGTGGGTAAGTAAAGCTTACCAAAAAAAATTGTGACATTAATTGAATTAACCTTTCATCATTGATGGTTTACATTACTATAATCACATCAATATTAATTTTAAATTATGGATTTTTTTTCAAATATTCCTCAATAGATTCATTGATTTTTTTCTTAGGAGCATTAAATACTATGAAGATTCTGCTGCATTTACACTCGTTCTAAAAGAAGTCAGTCTTGCGTCTTGTATCAAGATTTCTCTACCTTTGAGGAGCTTTCCTTGACTCACTAAAACTCATCATTTGCAGTTTTTTCTCTCTGCACACTTTAATTGTTGAATTACTGATTTTTTTGTTTTGTTTTCAGGTATTATTGTAATGTCTGTGACTGTGTTGTAAAAGACTCAATAAACTTCCTTGACCATATCAATGGAAAGAAACGTAAGTTTGCCTTGTTTATATGAAATATTTTCTGGCAGTATTTCATTTTATAAGAGATATTGGTAGAATCCCTACATGGGGGGGGGGGGGGGGGTGCCGGTGCCATTAACAAAAATTTATTTTCCCGTAATTTGGCAGTGGCTCCAAGTTTTATGCTCTTTTGCCAGGAGGTATAGCCGGGAACTATGTAAAGTTGTACAAGTAGTCTAAAAGTGTGGGAAGGTTAAGTGATTCATTTTCTCCAAGACTTTTAGAAGCTGCATCTTTCATGGCGCTGTAATATTTCAAGAGACTGCTTTACCATACACATTAATGTTGGAGGTGTGGTGAGAGTCCGTGATAACATTTGAAGTTTGGCAGGATATTAACCTGCATGTATGGTGTTTTAAATATCAAAGTTCTTGGTTCATTCACTGTCAATTATACTTGGAATAGATGAAATTGTTAATGACTAGTTTGCCTCAGAGACTTCATATCTGTGAAATGAGCCGATAGTTGATATGATCAAAGACGCTTCCTCATCTACTTCTGTATTTGCCCTGCATGAATTTCTTTGGCAATGTTTATGGGTAAAGATATCTGAGCAACTCAGCATTGTGATATTCTGCAACCAGTTTTTATATTACCCTGCAGACAATTAAAAAAAACAATAGGAAATAAAAGCACCTGTTTTACAATCTTAAAAAAAAATTCTGTAAATAAGATTTTGAAGGGGTCTGCAATTTCTTTAGTGTAAAGCAACTTATTCTTTTCATTTCTTTTTTTCTCACTGTAGATCAAAGAAATCTCGGAATGTCCATGCGAGTTGAGAGGTCTTCCCTGGATCAAGTCAAGAAGAGATTTGAAATCAACAAGAAGAAAATGGAAGAGAAGAAGAAAACTTATGATTTAGAATCGCGAGTCAAGGAACTAAAAGAGGAGGTAAGGCTTTTAACAATAATATCAATTCTACTCCAAACGTTGTATTTTTTATTGAAAAATTACAATAGAGTTTTAATCGATCCAGATAATCTCGCCATGAAATTTACAATCCTTCATTAATCAATGGTCTATCAGCGTCCTCGCAATCATCGCTTATAATCTCTGCATTTAAAGTTATGAGAATAGGCAGTGTGCAGTTACACACATGAAAAGCAATACGTTAACAATTGCATTTTGATTCCCTCCTGCAAGTAAACATTCTTTGATAAAATGACAATAATTCCGTGATTTCACAATTTACCACCAGACAAAGTACGAATTTAAGCATTAAAATACATGCTTTCTGACCTAAGCTTTCCTGAAGGCATTAAATAAAAGTGCTTGCTAGAAATTTGACAATGTCTATTGATTTTTATCAATTTTCTGCATTTTCCCCCAAAAAGGGGGGGGAGGAAGAATACAACATACATACTCAAGAAAAGAAATTAATCATGTTCTGAATGTAGTAGACTATATCTACTGATTTTTATAGATTTTCTGCATTCTTCCTCCAAAAGGGGGGGGGGGTTACACTCAGGATGACATAATTTTTAGGGGGATTTCTAGCAGTGGATGACAGTTGATTATGATGAAGGAGGAGAGCCCCTTATCACTCGTGTTTTGGATCAATATCAAAGACATCATTTTGATGAGTTCTGTATCATAAAGTATCAAGCTCTGTTTGTAGCATGAAAGATAGAACACTTGATAATATGTAACGATCCATGCTTTTTGATCCGCAGGAAGAAAAGTTGAAGGAATACAAAAAGGATAAGAAGAAGGAAAGAAAAAGAAAACTGAATGATACAGATTTTGCCGATGAGAGTGAAGAACAGTCAGAGCTAGCGTCAATAATGGGATTTTCAGGTTTTGGTGGCAGCAAAAGATAAATGCATTGGAGCAGACATTGATTAAAATTGTGAATTTTTGTAAATATTGAACATATAAAAATTTTAGATGTTAGTTTTGTGACCATAATTATTGTAAACTGTTCTCATGTTCTTAGATTTCAACTATGATTAAAAGCGTATCAAAGGTGAAAGTGTTTTTTTTTATATCATGAACAAATAGTTACTGTGAAGTCAAACTTTTTACGAAACATTTTGTCGTTGAGGTGCAACATTATGATAGCCTAATTTCTTTGCTTCATTTCTGTATCAGATCATGAATAATACTTTGGTTTATTTTCAGAACTTTTTGGTTTTGTTTTTCGACACTTTAAATGTGCATGAAACACCTATTATGGAAAGACAAATGAAGTCAAGTCCTCCTCCCAATACAGAGAGCCTCTTTAGGTAGAATCAAGTTACTTTAACTTCAGGGTGCTCAAAAACTGTATTTGGAAAGAAATAAGATTTCCAACCACTTTCCGTTATTCATACCTACTTTGATGTTATTACTCGAACTTGTTTAATTATTTTCCCATTCAAAACTTTCTTGAAAAGTAAGGTCAGTTTTATTCAATTTCTGTGACTTCCTCCATTTAACGACCATTTAAATTTTAGATCCACTTTTTAATGTCTTACTGAACTTTTGCAGGGATCAATTTGCGATACTTACCTAACCATAAATCCTAAAAATTAACCCAACACATGAAGCCTAAAGAGTGCTGTCGCCAAAAATGAATAAATTTGTTCATATTGCAGAACTCCACACCAAAAAAAAATTTTCCCCAGAAACTCTCAGAATTTCCCTGCCACAGCTTGAAAAATTATTATAATTATTTTGTTGGTCTCTGGTGTTTTAGAAAGCTGAAAGTCTTCAAAATCCAACTGTTTATTGTTTTAGCGCTAGATTTACAAGTTCTCACTTAAAGTTGCACTGTTTTAGCTCAATGCCTTAATCCTCATTGCAGACCCCAAAACAACTTTAAAGAGACGTAACACAATTTTTTTTAGTG